ACCGGTACCCCGTCTCCCATGGAGGTCTGGTTGGCCTTTGCTTTGTCACTGAACAGTTGACCGGCAACCTCCGGATTCAATTCTCAGACTGGCGATGTCGATTGGATGCATGAGCTCCAAGCCACATAGTGCAAATTGTTTTTCCACTCGTGTCCCAGTTCATTCCTGTCGGTTCTGGGTCGTCACAAGTTCATGTACTCGCTGCTTACGATTGCATCTCCGACGATCCTGCTGACCAGGCCGACGTGTATTTGGAAGATAGGCCTGAATAGCAACAAGGCTATGCTGCCTGTCTTGCGCCGCATCTGAAGTTCTCACCTCTGAGGTTCCGGACACTTCAATTGCCAAGAGCACTACGGAGAATGCAAGGTGCAATCTCGGATGCAGAAATCCCACGCTTACACGTGCAGCTGCTCAAAAACGAGCTAACAAGCTCAACACGACAGCCAAGGCAAGAGCACCACCGCTACCTCGGCTTCCCAAAGGCCCTGTCCGCAACAGGCGAGGGAAGGAGTGCGGAACCAATCACGGACGACTCAAGCATGCAGATGCCTTTGTTGCAAGGAGCAACGCAAGATAGCCATCCAGGGCCACCCCAAGCCTCAAGACGGCAGACGAAAGCCCAACACACATCCAAAGCCAACGCAATGCTTGATGAGCTGAGGCAGTGGCAAGCCAATCAGGCACAGGCCTGAGAAGGGCTTGCAGTCAGATCATGTCTGCGAAAAAGCACTATACCAAATGAAAGAGGCCGTCGAAACTGGCGCAGCGAGCGCACAGAGCATCGGCGGAACTTGTTTCAAATCGTTCAGCTTGGCTGCCGGCCAATCAACATTAGGACGAATTCACGGTGGTTCAGGAGACCTCCAGGCAAGTTTGCAAACGGCTTTCTCACAAGTAGGCTCGTCGCGCTTTTGACAAATCTGAGAACGGAACCGATGACGTTATTGACCCATTTACCTTATTCCAGCACCGCACAACAACCGCAAGGCTGGACGACGACCCACCATTCCTATCACCAGCTGCTGCTGCAGCGGCAGTAATGGTCATACCGTCGGATCTTCCCACGGTACTGCCAGGACCTCGGAAGCAGAACGAAAGTCCGACGGTCCATCAGTCCAAAGCCTACAGTATCCTACAGTACCAACCCGGTGCGGGACTTATGAGCTCGGAGTGGGCGGTCACCCTGAGGCGAACTTGCTAGCTCCGGAATGCCGACACTGCCGCCCCAGACCTGCTCCAGGTCAATCCCGTCTAGCAGGATGTTCCGCGTCTTTTTGAGTTGCCCGGGGTCTGCCAAAGAGCAGTACCTGGAATGCAAAATCGCAGGATGCCCGCGAACGGCACCAACTGCCAACCAGGCCGGAGCTACCCCATCAACAGCACGTTGACTGCAGCAAGCCCAACTTGCAAGGCTATCAAAGGAGCCTCGCCAGTGTACTCCATGTCGGTGTCAGCACCAAGTACAGCCTACAGTGAAATCCCGCCTCGGCCTGGGACCATGACTGCAACCGGCACAACAGTGGAATCTGGACAAGCGCTAGGCAGATCGACCCTGCCACCTTACCCACAGGTCCAGTGCTAATGTAGCTCGCGATCAAAAACTGCCGTTGTCATTCTTCTGAGGTGCGGGCCACAGACACGCACAGCGCCTGCATTTATGCACTGCCCACGGCGCAACAGGGGCCAACTTCGCCGCAATACAAGTCGGTGCGGCGTAAGGCAAGGCGGGCTTGAAATCGCAGCCCCAAAAAACATATTCTCCAGTCCTCGCTGAGCGGCCGTCGTCTGGCTCAAGATCGTCTGGTGCCACACACTCTTGAGGCTGGGGCCCTTCGTCGCCCTCCCTCGCCTCATTCACGCACAAATCGTCGAAACACGGCTCCTGGCAAGTGCAGGATGTTCCGCAAGAGCCTCCACAAAAGCGTGCCTCGAAGTGACAACATGCCGGAGCGGCAGACTCCTGCGTGGCCTGCGTGGAGTCCTGCTCTTCTTGTGTTGTGGAAGATGAAGCCAAGAGCATCCTTGGACGAGGCCACAGGTAGCCACCGGTGGCCCTGCACGACCAACATAGACGAGGCTCGTTGGCGGCAGGTTGGCCCCCGTCTGACTTTGTGATCCAGGCCTTCATTCTGCGCTCACACGACATGCCCAGACTATAGGGTCGGCATAGCGTCTAGAGAAGGACGACTCAGGACTTCGCGGTAAGAGCCTTCCGTACCTAGCATTGAAGTGCGACTCGTCATGACCGCTATGCCATGTTTTGAGTCAGCGCACGTGGGCATCTGCTGTGGCGGCCAACCTGTCTCCGAAGGGTGCATGCCCGCACTGAGCAAAGCAACACTTCTGCAAACAGTGCGAACCAAGGAGCTGCCAGCCCTCCATGTGGGCGGGAGGGACATGTCAAGCGAGGTGTTGCGTCTTGTAGGAGCCAAGACTAAAGTCGTGCAGCTTGAGCCACAGAGCTGCAGTTCGTCATTATAGGGTGGCACCGCAACGTCTTTCCACAATCTAACGCTGGCAACCCATTCGACCGCCCAGCTTTTCCGTTGGCCCGCGGACGCAAAGCCTTCAGCCGCTGCTCCGCTTCTGCGTCGGCGTAGGTCCAACTGGGCTTGTCATCAGCTCGCCCAAGGAGCTTGAAGTCAGCAATCAACGTCAAAGTCTCTTGGTGTGATTCATGACCCCGCAGGCTCTCAATGGCTTTGACTAGCAGGGAGACCCACTTTTGACGCTCAGGCTTCGCCAATGTACGTACAACGTTGTCAAGGTGGCCTGCGCACTGCATTACCGCAAAAAAGTCGCTTGGCTGATTCCGGTGGGCTCTGACAGCACGTGTCCCATCCGCGTCAACGTGGCATCTGCAATCATCTGCTCCACAAACGGGAGGCCACCTTGACCATCGTTACGAACAATATGGTGCGCATCTAATCGCTCTTCTGTCTGCTCAGATTGATTGCATGACATCAGTTGCATGCTTATGTCTGTCTGCAGGCGGCTGTCGTCAACGGGTTTGAGCAAAATCAAAGCCGACTTGCGCCTTCCCATACTGAATCCATCCATCCATCCATCCATCCATCCATCCATCCATACGTTTACTTGTCTACAGAGAGTTAGGCAGTCTTGAGGCTTTCACAAGCCGTGCGGCGAGTTCCGACCATCAATCATCAATCCTGGTGGACGCCTCGTCGGCCAGTGTCGCCACTGCTACGCCGGCGATCGCCTGGCGCAAACGGAGAGAAGCCCCTGTACCCTTGCAGAGTGAGAAAGCATGCCAGGGCAAGTTTTCTGGTTCAAACCGCCTGCCGGCATGGAGCTGCCTGGCCGCAGGAGGGGCTGCTGGGCAGGGCTCGCAGTGTTGGCGTGTCACGACCGTCGGGGCATCCTCATACACGATAGCATTCAGAATGGCGTGCCTTCGTGGCCTGCATTGGTTCCACGCATGCCTCATCCTCAGACAAGCGTGAACGGCGCAAGCAATCTACACCTCGTAACCTATCAGCCTCAAGCCTCAGGGATAAAAATAAGCTTGAAGCTGCCTTACAGGAATCAGAAACCATCTTGTATGCCCGGTGTGCATCCTGAAAGCTAGCCGCGTCGTCATTTGCCAGGGGATGTGACACAACTTCTGTTCTACCGAGGGTCGCAGAGCACCCAGGCAGACGTGAGAGCCACAACCGCCAAACAAAGCAGCGAACCTGTGATGCAAGTGAGCCGCGAAACCTACAGTAACACTGCTTCCGAAGCATTCCTGCCAGTGCCTGCAGCTCCCGAAAACCGTACAGGGATGTAACAACAAAGCAAAAGCGTGCCGTGCCTCTCGAGTGCTTGCCGGTGGCCTGCGACCGCAGGATCAGCAGGCGGCTTCATGCGACTCTTTAGCATTGGCTGGCAGCAACGAGTGCTACTGTTCATGCTGACTTGACTCTGGTTTCACGACGAGGCTGCCGTCGAGCGGCTTTTAGGCTTTTAATCTGTCAGTCTCTTTGCTCTTTGAAACTAACGAGCAATCGAGGCAGTGCCGCGGTTTGGAGCTCTTTCGGCCTGCTAAGCAGATTCCGCGAGTTTCAAAAGCTGAAGTCAACGACAGCATACTCAACTTCAAACATCTTGCACTAACTCCGAGGCTTTGGTCTACAAGCGGCTAGATCTTCTGCGAGCGTCTCGTGAACCCGACATGCTACAACCCGCGCAGCATCGCTTTCTTCGCTTCTCTGCTTCTTCTCTCCAGCTCTTGACTCGTGACCTTGACATTCTGTCCTTCTCCTTCGGTCGGGCCGCATTGTGCAGGGCTTGCACTCCCCCGCCTCCCGTCAATGGGATCTGGGTCGATCTTTCTCCTTCTTAGTCTTCCCTTCGGCACGATTTCAAAGCTGCGGCCTTTCCTCTTGCTGCCGCAGCACGCGCCATGGCACCGGCAAATGCGGAAGAGCGCTGGAGCTGTCCTTCTAGGAAGGCTGTTGGGACCGTGCTTACAGAAGTTGTCTTGCACTCCACTGGAAGCTGCTGGACAGCTTACACCTCGCTGCTTTCGCTTGCGTTGGCTAGGTACCATTCCTCAGGAAATACTGGCCGATGTCCAGATGCGAGGCGAGTCTGCTCAGCTGTCTCTTCGCTGGACCGCACTGGTCAAATCCTAGACCTCGGGGAGATGGGGGGGGGGGGGCCATCATCTGAGTTATGCCAGAACTGCTCGAGAGCGGCTCTCAGTTCTTCGCTTTGGTGAAACTGGGTGCTGACAGACGCTGCACTGTCCATTACAGCCTTTGAACTGTGACTGGTCTCGGGGACATCCAACTTGCCCGGTACATGCAAACATCATTGACACACGAAGGAATCTGGTACTACATGCATAAAGCTCCAGATGACTGGAATTGGAAGCTGCCCGGCAAGGCAGGAAAAAGTGACTGGGCATTGGCACGGCATCTCGGGGAGACTTTGCAGCCCCGTAAGGCCAGAGTTAAACAATGAAGCATGAGCAACGAAGAAGTTTCTGTGACTCAGAACTCGCCGAGTTCACCCTCACACGTCAAAGCTTGCGAACATGAGCTTCGACATCGCCCTCTTTCTCAGCCACTGGCAGCCGGCCAGCGCGGCCAGCACCAGAAATTGCAGCAATTGTTGGACCAACCTTTGTCCCAACGGTTCCTTCGCATGGCACACTGCAGAAACCGAAGCATGAACCTGGATCAATTGGAGTGACTCCTGGTCTTGTCATAAACAAATGCTTTTTCATCGAAGAGCTGGTTGTACCTGACAGCACGGGAGCTACTGCAACAGAATCACGTTTGGCCTTTTTGGACTGACTCTAAACTGTGGGGCACTCTTCGTCATCCAGCTCCTCTACCGGTACCCCGTCTCCCATGGAGGTCTGGTTGGCCTTTGCTTTGTCACTGAACAGTTGACCGGCAACCTCCGGATTCAATTCTCAGACTGGCGATGTCGATTGGATGCATGAGCTCCAAGCCACATAGTGCAAATTGTTTTTCCACTCGTGTCCCAGTTCATTCCTGTCGGTTCTGGGTCGTCACAAGTTCATGTACTCGCTGCTTACGATTGCATCTCCGACGATCCTGCTGACCAGGCCGACGTGTATTTGGAAGATAGGCCTGAATAGCAACAAGGCTATGCTGCCTGTCTTGCGCCGCATCTGAAGTTCTCACCTCTGAGGTTCCGGACACTTCAATTGCCAAGAGGACTACGGAGAATGCAAGGTGCAATCTCGGATGCAGAAATCCCACGCTTACACGTGCAGCTGCTCAAAAACGAGCTAACAAGCTCAACACGACAGCCAAGGCAAGAGCACCACCGCTACCTCGGCTTCCCAAAGGCCCTGTCCGCAACAGGCGAGGGAAGGAGTGCGGAACCAATCACGGACGACTCAAGCATGCAGATGCCTTTGTTGCAAGGAGCAACGCAAGATAGCCATCCAGGGCCACCCCAAGCCTCAAGACGGCAGACGAAAGCCCAACACACATCCAAAGCCAACGCAATGCTTGATGAGCTGAGGCAGTGGCAAGCCAATCAGGCACAGGCCTGAGAAGGGCTTGCAGTCAGATCATGTCTGCGAAAAAGCACTATACCAAATGAAAGAGGCCGTCGAAACTGGCGCAGCGAGTGCACAGAGCATCGGCGGAACTTGTTTAAAATCGTTCAGCTTGGCTGCCGGCCAATCAACATTAGGACGAATTCACGGTGGTTCAGGAGACCTCCAGGCAAGTTTGCAAACGGCTTTCTCACAAGTAGGCTCGTCGCGCTTTTGACAAATCTGAGAACGGAACCGATGACGTTATTGACCCATTTACCTTATTCCAGCACCGCACAACAACCGCAAGGCTGGACGACGACCCACCATTCCTATCACCAGCTGCTGCTGCAGCGGCAGTAATGGTCATACCGTCGGATCTTCCCACGGTACTGCCAGGACCTCGGAAGCAGAACGAAAGTCCGACGGTCCATCAGTCCAAAGCCTACAGTATCCTACAGTACCAACCCGGTGCGGGACTTATGAGCTCGGAGTGGGCGGTCACCCTGAGGCGAACTTGCTAGCTCCGGAATGCCGACACTGCCGCCCCAGACCTGCTCCAGGTCAATCCCGTCTAGCAGGATGTTCCGCGTCTTTTTGAGTTGCCCGGGGTCTGCCAAAGAGCAGTACCTGGAATGCAAAATCGCAGGATGCCCGCGAACGGCACCAACTGCCAACCAGGCCGGAGCTACCCCATCAACAGCACGGTGACTGCAGCAAGCCCAACTTGCAAGGCTATCAAAGGAGCCTCGCCAGTGTACTCCATGTCGGTGTCAGCACCAAGTACAGCCTACAGTGAAATCCCGCCTCGGCCTGGGACCATGACTGCAACCGGCACAACAGTGGAATCTGGACAAGCGCTAGGCAGATCGACCCTGCCACCTTACCCACAGGTCCAGTGCTAATGTAGCTCGCGATCAAAAACTGCCGTTGTCATTCTTCTGAGGTGCGGGCCACAGACACGCACAGCGCCTGCATTTATGCACTGCCCACGGCGCAACAGGGGCCAACTTCGCCGCAATACAAGTCGGTGCGGCGTAAGGCAAGGCGGGCTTGAAATCGCAGCCCCAAAAAACATATTCTCCAGTCCTCGCTGAGCGGCCGTCGTCTGGCTCAAGATCGTCTGGTGCCACACACTCTTGAGGCTGGGGCCCTTCGTCGCCCTCCCTCGCCTCATTCACGCACAGATCGTCGAAACACGGCTCCTGGCAAGTGCAGGATGTTCCGCAAGAGCCTCCACAAAAGCGTGCCTCGAAGTGACAACATGCCGGAGCGGCAGACTCCTGCGTGGCCTGCGTGGAGTCCTGCTCTTCTTGTGTTGTGGAAGATGAAGCCAAGAGCATCCTTGGACGAGGCCACAGGTAGCCACCGGTGGCCCTGCACGACCAACATAGACGAGGCTCGTTGGCGGCAGGTTGGCCCCCGTCTGACTTTGTGATCCAGGCCTTCATTCTGCGCTCACACGACATGCCCAGACTATAGGGTCGGCATAGCGTCTAGAGAAGGACGACTCAGGACTTCGCGGTAAGAGCCTTCCGTACCTAGCATTGAAGTGCGACTCGTCATGACCGTTATGCCATGTTTTGAGTCAGCGCACGTTGGCATCTGCTGCGGCGGCCAACCTGTCTCCGAAGGGTGCATGCCCGCACTGAGCAAAGCAACACTTCTGCAAACAGTGCGAACCAAGGAGCTGCCAGCCCTCCATGTGGGCGGGAGGGACATGTCAAGCGAGGTGTTGCGTCTTGTAGGAGCCAAGACTAAAGTCGTGCAGCTTGAGCCACAGAGCTGCAGTTCGTCATTATAGGGTGGCACCGCAACGTCTTTCCACAATCTAACACTGGCAACCCATTCGACCGCCCAGCTTTTCCGTTGGCCCGCGGACGCAAAGCCTTCAGCCGCTGCTCCGCTTCTGCGTCGGCGTAGGTCCAACTGGGCTTGTCATCAGCTCGCCCAAGGAGCTTGAAGTCAGCAATCAACGTCAAAGTCTCTTGGTGTGATTCATGACCCCGCAGGCTCTCAATGGCTTTGACTAGCAGGGAGACCCACTTTTGACGCTCAGGCTTCGCCAATGTACGTACAACGTTGTCAAGGTGGCCTGCGCACTGCATTACCGCAAAAAAGTCGCTTGGCTGATTCCGGTGGGCTCTGACAGCACGTGTCCCATCCGCGTCAACGTGGCATCTGCAATCATCTGCTCCACAAACGGGAGGCCACCTTGACCATCGTTACGAACAATATGGTGCGCATCTAATCGCTCTTCTGTCTGCTCAGATTGATTGCATGACATCAGTTGCATGCTTATGTCTGTCTGCAGGCGGCTGTCGTCAACGGGTTTGAGCAAAATCAAAGCCGACTTGCGCCTTCCCATACTGATCCATCCATCCATCCATCCATCCATACGTTTACTTGTCTACAGAGAGTTAGGCAGTCTTGAGGCTTTCACAAGCCGTGCTGCGAGTTCCGACCATCAATCATCAATCCTGGTGGACGCCTCGTCGGCCAGTGTCGCCACTGCTACGCCGGCGATCGCCTGGCGCAAACGGAGAGAAGCCCCTGTACCCTTGCAGAGTGAGAAAGCATGCCAGGGCAAGTTTTCTGGTTCAAACCGCCTGCCGGCATGGAGCTGCCTGGCCGCAGGAGGGGCTGCTGGGCAGGGCTCGCAGTGTTGGCGTGTCACGACCGTCGGGGCATCCTCATACACGATAGCATTCAGAATGGCGTGCCTTCGTGGCCTGCATTGGTTCCACGCATGCCTCATCCTCAGACAAGCGCGCTGCGAAAAGTGCACGCACACAGACAAACCATCTTTCAAAGCGAATGAACGGCGCAAGCAATCTACACCTCGTAACCTATCAGCCTCAAGCCTCAGGGATAGAATAAGCTTGAAGCTGCCTTATAGGAATCAGAAACCATCTTGTATGCCCGGTGTGCATCCTGAAAGCTAGCCGCGTCGTCATTTGCCAGGGTATGTGACACAACTTCTGTTCTACCGAGGGTCGCATAGCACCCAGGCAGACGTGAGAGCCACAACCGCCAAACAAAGCAGCGAACCTATGCTGCAAGTGAGCCGCGAAACCTACAGTAACACTGCTTCCGAAGCATTCCTGCCAGTGCCTGCAGCTCCCGAAAACCGTACAGGGATGTAACAACAAAGCAAAAGCGTGCCGTGCCTCTCGAGTGCTTGCCGGTGGCCTGCGACCGCAGGATCAGCAGGCGGCTTCATGCGACTCTTGCTGTTCCTCTGTCGCTCGGTAGCATTGGCTGGCAGCAACGAGTGCTACTGTTCATGCTGACTTGACTCTGGTTTCACGACGAGGCTGCCGTCGAGCGGCTTTTAGGCTTTTAATCTGTCAGTCTCTTTGCTCTTTGAAACTAACGAGCAATCGAGGCAGTGCCGCGGTTTGGAGCTCTTTCGGCCTGCTAAGCAGATTCCGCGAGTTTCAAAAGCTGAAGTCAACGACAGCATACTCAACTTCAAACATCTTGCACTAACTCCGAGGCTTTGGTCTACAAGCGGCTAGATCTTCTGCGAGCGTCTCGTGAACCCGACATGCTACAACCCGCGCAGCATCGCTTTCTTCGCTTCTCTGCTTCTTCTCTCCAGCTCTTGACTCGTGACCTTGACATTCTGTCCTTCTCCTTCGGTCGGGCCGCATTGTGCAGGGCTTGCACTCCCCCGCCTCCCGTCAATGGGATCTGGGTCGATCTTTCTCCTTCTTAGTCTTCCCTTCGGCACGATTTCAAAGCTGCGGCCTTTCCTCTTGCTGCCGCAGCACGCGCCATGGCACCGGCAAATGCGGAAGAGCGCTGGAGCTGTCCTTCTAGGAAGGCTGTTGGGACCGTGCTTACAGAAGTTGTCTTGCACTCCACTGGAAGCTGCTGGACAGCTTACACCTCGCTGCTTTCGCTTGCGTTGGCTAGGTACCATTCCTCAGGAAATACTGGCCGATGTCCAGATGCGAGGCGAGTCTGCTCAGCTGTCTCTTCGCTGGACCGCACTGGTCAAATCCTAGACCTCGGGGAGATGGGGGGGGGGGGGCCATCATCTGAGTTATGCCAGAACTGCTCGAGAGCGGCTCTCAGTTCTTCGCTTTGGTGAAACTGGGTGCTGACAGACGCTGCACTGTCCATTACAGCCTTTGAACTGTGACTGGTCTCGGGGACATCCAACTTGCCCGGTACATGCAAACATCATTGACACACAAAGGAATCTGGTACTACATGCATAAAGCTCCAGATGACTGGAATTGGAAGCTGCCCGGCAAGGCAGGAAAAAGTGACTGGGCATTGGCACGGCATCTCGGGGAGACTTTGCAGCCCCGTAAGGCCAGAGTTAAACAATGAAGCATGAGCAACGAAGAAGTTTCTGTGACTCAGAACTCGCCGAGTTCACCCTCACACGTCAAAGCTTGCGAACATGAGCTTCGACATCGCCCTCTTTCTCAGCCACTGGCAGCCGGCCAGCGCGGCCAGCACCAGAAATTGCAGCAATTGTTGGACCAACCTTTGTCCCAACGGTTCCTTCGCATGGCACACTGCAGAAACCGAAGCATGAACCTGGATCAATTGGAGTGGCTCCTGGTCTTGTCATAAACAAATGCTTTTTCATCGAAGAGCTGGTTGTACCTGACAGCACGGGAGCTACTGCAACAGAATCACGTTTGACCTTTTTGGACTGACTCTAAACTGTGGGGCACTCTTCGTCATCCAGCTCCTCTACCGGTACCCCGTCTCCCATGGAGGTCTGGTTGGCCTTAGCTTTGTCACTGAACAGTTGACCGGCAACCTCCGGATTCAATTCTCAGACTGGCGATGTCGATTGGATGCATGAGCTCCAAGCCACATAGTGCAAATTGTTTTTCCACTCGTGTCCCAGTTCATTCCTGTCGGTTCTGGGTCGTCACAAGTTCATGTACTCGCTGCTTACGATTGCATCTCCGACGATCCTGCTGACCAGGCCGACGTGTATTTGGAAGATAGGCCTGAATAGCAACAAGGCTATGCTGCCTGTCTTGCGCCGCATCTGAAGTTCTCACCTCTGAGGTTCCGGACACTTCAATTGCCAAGAGGACTACGGAGAATGCAAGGTGCAATCTCGGATGCAGAAATCCCACGCTTACACGTGCAGCTGCTCAAAAACGAGCTAACAAGCTCAACACGACAGCCAAGGCAAGAGCACCACCGCTACCTCGGCTTCCCAAAGGCCCTGTCCGCAACAGGCGAGGGAAGGAGTGCGGAACCAATCACGGACGACTCAAGCATGCAGATGCCTTTGTTGCAAGGAGCAACGCAAGATAGCCATCCAGGGCCACCCCAAGCCTCAAGACAGCAGACGAAAGCCCAACACACATCCAAAACCAACGCAATGCTTGATGAGCTGAGGCAGTGGCAAGCCAATCAGGCACAGGCCTGAGAAGGGCTTGCAGTCAGATCATGTCTGCGAAAAAGCACTACCAAATGAAAGAGGCCGTCGAAACTGGCGCAGCGAGCGCACAGAGCATCGGCGGAACTTGTTTAAAATCGTTCAGCTTGGCTGCCGGCCAATCAACATTAGGACGAATTCACGGTGGTTCAGGAGACCTCCAGGCAAGTTTGCAAACGGCTTTCTCCCAAGTAGGCTCGTCGCGCTTTTGACAAATCTGAGAACGGAACCGATGACGTTATTGACCCATTTACCTTATTCCAGCACCGCACAACAACCGCAAGGCTGGACGACGACCCACCATTCCTATCACCAGCTGCTGCTGCTGCAGCGGCAGTAATGGTCATACCGTCGGATCTTCCCACGGTACTGCCAGGACCTCGGAAGCAGAACGAAAGTCCGACGGCCTATCAGTCCAAGGCCTACAGTATCCTACAGTACCAACCCGGTGCGGGACTTATGAGCTCGGAGTGGGCGGTCACCCTGAGGCGAACTTGCTAGCTCCGGAATGCCGACACTGCCGCCCCAGACCTGCTCCAGGTCAATCCCGTCTAGCAGGATGTTCCGCGTCTTTTTGAGTTGCCCGGGGTCTGCCAAAGAGCAGTACCTGGAATGCAAAATCGCAGGATGCCCGCGAACGGCACCAACTGCCAACCAGGCCGGAGCTACCCCATCAACAGCACGGTGACTGCAGCAAGCCCAACTTGCAAGGCTATCAAAGGAGCCTCGCCAGTGTACTCCATGTCGGTGTCAGCACCAAGTACAGCCTACAGTGAAATCCCGCCTCGGCCTGGGACCACGACTGCAACCGGCACAACAGTGGAATCTGGACAAGCGCTAGGCAGATCGACCCTGCCACCTTACCCACAGGTCCAGTGCTAATGTAGCTCGCGATCAAAAACTGCCGTTGTCATTCTTCTGAGGTGCGGGCCACAGACACGCACAGCGCCTGCATTTATGCACTGCCCACGGCGCAACAGGGACCAACTTCGCCGCAATACAAGTCGGTGCGGCGTAAGGCAAGGCGGGCTTGAAATCGCAGCCCCAAAAAACATATTCTCCAGTCCTCGCTGAGCGGCCGTCGTCTGGCTCAAGATCGTCTGGTGCCACACACTCTTGAGGCTGGGGCCCTTCGTCGCCCTCCCTCGCCTCATTCACGCACAGATCGTCGAAACACGGCTCCTGGCAAGTGCAGGATGTTCCGCAAGAGCCTCCACAAAAGCGTGCCTCGAAGTGACAACATGCCGGAGCGGCAGACTCCTGCGTGGCCTGCGTGGAGTCCTGCTCTTCTTGTGTTGTGGAAGATGAAGCCAAGAGCATCCTTGGACGAGGCCACAGGTAGCCACCGGTGGCCCTGCACGACCAACATAGACGAGGCTCGTTGGCGGCAGGTTGGCCCCCGTCTGACTTTGTGATCCAGGCCTTCATTCTGCGCTCACACGACATGCCCAGACTATAGGGTCGGCATAGCGTCTAGAGAAGGACGACTCAGGACTTCGCGGTAAGAGCCTTCCGTACCTAGCATTGAAGTGCGACTCGTCATGACCGTTATGCCATGTTTTGAGTCAGCGCACGTTGGCATCTGCTGCGGCGGCCAACCTGTCTCCGAAGGGTGCATGCCCGCACTGAGCAAAGCAACACTTCTGCAAACAGTGCGAACCAAGGAGCTGCCAGCCCTCCATGTGGGCGGGAGGGACATGTCAAGCGAGGTGTTGCGTCTTGTAGGAGCCAAGACTAAAGTCGTGCAGCTTGAGCCACAGAGCTGCAGTTCGTCATTATAGGGTGGCACCGCAACGTCTTTCCACAATCTAACGCTGGCAACCCATTCGACCGCCCAGCTTTTCCGTTGGCCCGCGGACGCAAAGCCTTCAGCCGCTGCTCCGCTTCTGCGTCGGCGTAGGTCCAACTGGGCTTGTCATCAGCTCGCCCAAGGAGCTTGAAGTCAGCAATCAACGTCAAAGTCTCTTGGTGTGATTCATGACCCCGCAGGCTCTCAATGGCTTTGACTAGCAGGGAGACCCACTTTTGACGCTCAGGCTCCGCCAATGTACGTACACCGTTGTCAAGGTGGCCTGCGCACTGCATTACCGCAAAAAAGTCGCTTGGCTGATTCCGGTGGGCTCTGACAGCACGTGTCCCATCCGCGTCAACGTGGCATCTGCAATCATCTGCTCCACAAACGGGAGGCCACCTTGACCATCGTTACGAACAATATGGTGCGCATCTAATCGCTCTTCTGTCTGCTCAGATTGATTGCATGACATCAGTTGCATGCTTATGTCTGTCTGCAGGCGGCTGTCGTCAACGGGTTTGAGCAAAATCAAAGCCGACTTGCGCCTTCCCATACTGAATCCATCCATCCATCCATCCATCCATACGTTTACTTGTCTACAGAGAGTTAGGCAGTCTTGAGGCTTTCACAAGCCGTGCTGCGAGTTCCGACCATCAATCATCAATCCTGGTGGACGCCTCGTCGGCCAGTGTCGCCACTGCTACGCCGGCGATCGCCTGGCGCAAACGGAGAGAAGCCCCTGTACCCTTGCAGAGTGAGAAAGCATGCCAGGGCAAGTTTTCTGGTTCAAACCGCCTGCCGGCATGGAGCTGCCTGGCCGCAGGAGGGGCTGCTGGGCAGGGCTCGCAGTGTTGGCGTGTCACGACCGTCGGGGCATCCTCATACACGATAGCATTCAGAATGGCGTGCCTTCGTGGCCTGCATTGGTTCCACGCATGCCTCATCCTCAGACAAGCGCGCTGCGAAAAGTGCACGCCCACAGACAAACCATCTTTCAAAGCGAATGAACGGCGCAAGCAATCTACACCTCGTAACCTATCAGCCTCAAGCCTCAGGGATAGAATAAGCTTGAAGCTGCCTTATAGGAATCAGAAACCATCTTGTATGCCCGGTGTGCATCCTGAAAGCTAGCCGCGTCGTCATTTGCCAGGGTATGTGACACAACTTCTGTTCTACCGAGGGTCGCATAGCACCCAGGCAGACGTGAGAGCCACAACCGCCAAACAAAGCAGCGAACCTATGCTGCAAGTGAGCCGCGAAACCTACAGTAACACTGCTTCCGAAGCATTCCTGCCAGTGCCTGCAGCTCCCGAAAACCGTACAGGGATGTAACAACAAAGCAAAAGCGTGCCGTGCCTCTCGAGTGCTTGCCGGTGGCCTGCGACCGCAGGATCAGCAGGCGGCTTCATGCGACTCTTGCTGTTCCTCTGTCGCTCGGTAGCATTGGCTGGCAGCAACGAGTGCTACTGTTCATGCTGACTTGACTCTGGTTTCACGACGAGGCTGCCGTCGAGCGGCTTTTAGGCTTTTAATCTGTCAGTCTCTTTGCTCTTTGAAACTAACGAGCAATCGAGGCAGTGCCGCGGTTTGGAGCTCTTTCGGCCTGCTAAGCAGATTCCGCGAGTTTCAAAAGCTGAAGTCAACGACAGCATACTCAACTTCAAACATCTTGCACTAACTCCGAGGCTTTGGTCTACAAGCGGCTAGATCTTCTGCGAGCGTCTCGTGAACCCGACATGCTACAACCCGCGCAGCATCGCTTTCTTCGCTTCTCTGCTTCTTCTCTCCAGCTCTTGACTCGTGACCTTGACATTCTGTCCTTCTCCTTCGGTCGGGCCGCATTGTGCAGGGCTTGCACTCCCCCGCCTCCCGTCAATGGGATCTGGGTCGATCTTTCTCCTTCTTAGTCTTCCCTTCGGCACGATTTCAAAGCTGCGGCCTTTCCTCTTGCTGCCGCAGCACGCGCCATGGCACCGGCAAATGCGGAAGAGCGCTGGAGCTGTCCTTCTAGGAAGGCTGTTGGGACCGTGCTTACAGAAGTTGTCTTGCACTCCACTGGAAGCTGCTGGACACCTCGCTGCTTTCGCTTGCGTTGGCTAGGTACCATTCCTCAGGAAATACTGGCCGATGTCCAGATGCGAGGCGAGTCTGCTCAGCTGTCTCTTCGCTGGACCGCACTGGTCAAATCCTAGACCTCGGGGAGATGGGGGGGGGGGGGCCATCATCTGAGTTATGCCAGAACTGCTCGAGAGCGGCTCTCAGTTCTTCGCTTTGGTGAAACTGGGTGCTGACAGACGCTGCACTGTCCATTACAGCCTTTGAACTGTGACTGGTCTCGGGGACGTCCAACTTGCCCGGTACATGCAAACATCATTGACACACAAAGGAATCTGGTACTACATGCATAAAGCTCCAGATGACTGGAATTGGAAGCTGCCCGGCAAGGCAGGAAAAAGTGACTGGGCATTGGCACGGCATCTCGGGGAGACTTTGCAGCCCCGTAAGGCCAGAGTTAAACAATGAAGCATGAGCAACGAAGAAGTTTCTGTGACTCAGAACTCGCCGAGTTCACCCTCACACGTCAAAGCTTGCGAACATGAGCTTCGACATCGCCCTCTTTCTCAGCCACTGGCAGCCGGCCAGCGCGGCCAGCACCAGAAATTGCAGCAATTGTTGGACCAACCTTTGTCCCAACGGTTCCTTCGCATGGCACACTGCAGAAACCGAAGCATGAACCTGGATCAATTGGAGTGGCTCCTGGTCTTGTCATAAACAAATGCTTTTTCATCGAAGAGCTGGTTGTACCTGACAGCACGGGAGCTACTGCAACAGAATCACGTTTGACCTTTTTGGACTGACTCTAAACTGTGGGGCACTCTTCGTCATCCAGCTCCTCTACCGGTACCCCGTCTCCCATGGAGGTCTGGTTGGCCTTAGCTTTGTCACTGAACAGTTGACCGGCAACCTCCGGATTCAATTCTCAGACTGGCGATGTCGATTGGATGCATGAGCTCCAAGCCACATAGTGCAAATTGTTTTTCCACTCGTGTCCCAGTTCATTCCTGTCGGTTCTGGGTCGTCACAAGTTCATGTACTCGCTGCTTACGATTGCATCTCCGACGATCCTGCTGACCAGGCCGACGTGTATTTGGAAGATAGGCCTGAATAGCAACAAGGCTATGCTGCCTGTCTTGCGCCGCATCTGAAGTTCTCACCTCTGAGGTTCCGGACACTTCAATTGCCAAGAGGACTACGGAGAATGCAAGGTGCAATCTCGGATGCAGAAATCCCACGCTTACACGTGCAGCTGCTCAAAAACGAGCTAACAAGCTCAACACGACAGCCAAGGCAAGAGCACCACCGCTACCTCGGCTTCCCAAAGGCCCTGTCCGCAACAGGCGAGGGAAGGAGTGCGGAACCAATCACGGACGACTCAAGCATGCAGATGCCTTTGTTGCAAGGAGCAACGCAAGATAGCCATCCAGGGCCACCCCAAGCCTCAAGACAGCAGACGAAAGCCCAACACACATCCAAAACCAACGCAATGCTTGATGAGCTGAGGCAGTGGCAAGCCAATCAGGCACAGGCCTGAGAAGGGCTTGCAGTCAGATCATGTCTGCGAAAAAGCACTACCAAATGAAAGAGGCCGTCGAAACTGGCGCAGCGAGCGCACAGAGCATCGGCGGAACTTGTTTAAAATCGTTCAGCTTGGCTGCCGGCCAATCAACATTAGGACGAATTCACGGTGGTTCAGGAGACCTCCAGGCAAGTTTGCAAACGGCTTTCTCCCAAGTAGGCTCGTCGCGCTTTTGACAAATCTGAGAACGGAACCGATGACGTTATTGACCCATTTACCTTATTCCAGCACCGCACAACAACCGCAAGGCTGGACGACGACCCACCATTCCTATCACCAGCTGCTGCTGCTGCAGCGGCAGTAATGGTCATACCGTCGGATCTTCCCACGGTACTGCCAGGACCTCGGAAGCAGAACGAAAGTCCGACGGCCTATCAGTCCAAGGCCTACAGTATCCTACAGTACCAACCCGGTGCGGGACTTATGAGCTCGGAGTGGGCGGTCACCCTGAGGCGAACTTGCTAGCTCCGGAATGCCGACACTGCCGCCCCAGACCTGCTCCAGGTCAATCCCGTCTAGCAGGATGTTCCGCGTCTTTTTGAGTTGCCCGGGGTCTGCCAAAGAGCAGTACCTGGAATGCAAAATCGCAGGATGCCCGCGAACGGCACCAACTGCCAACCAGGCCGGAGCTACCCCATCAACAGCACGGTGACTGCAGCAAGCCCAACTTGCAAGGCTATCAAAGGAGCCTCGCCAGTGTACTCCATGTCGGTGTCAGCACCAAGTACAGCCTACAGTGAAATCCCGCCTCGGCCTGGGACCACGACTGCAACCGGCACAACAGTGGAATCTGGACAAGCGCTAGGCAGATCGACCCTGCCACCTTACCCACAGGTCCAGTGCTAATGTAGCTCGCGATCAAAAACTGCCGTTGTCATTCTTCTGAGGTGCGGGCCACAGACACGCACAGCGCCTGCATTTATGCACTGCCCACGGCGCAACAGGGACCAACTTCGCCGCAATACAAGTCGGTGCGGCGTAAGGCAAGGCGGGCTTGAAATCGCAGCCCCAAAAAACATATTCTCCAGTCCTCGCTGAGCGGCCGTCGTCTGGCTCAAGATCGTCTGGTGCCACACACTCTTGAGGCTGGGGCCCTTCGTCGCCCTCCCTCGCCTCATTCACGCACAGATCGTCGAAACACGGCTCCTGGCAAGTGCAGGATGTTCCGCAAGAGCCTCCACAAAAGCGTGCCTCGAAGTGACAACATGCCGGAGCGGCAGACTCCTGCGTGGCCTGCGTGGAGTCCTGCTCTTCTTGTGTTGTGGAAGATGAAGCCAAGAGCATCCTTGGACGAGGCCACAGGTAGCCACCGGTGGCCCTGCACGACCAACATAGACGAGGCTCGTTGGCGGCAGGTTGGCCCCCGTCTGACTTTGTGATCCAGGCCTTCATTCTGCGCTCACACGACATGCCCAGACTATAGGGTCGGCATAGCGTCTAGAGAAGGACGACTCAGGACTTCGCGGTAAGAGCCTTCCGTACCTAGCATTGAAGTGCGACTCGTCATGACCGTTATGCCATGTTTTGAGTCAGCGCACGTCGGCATCTGCTGCGGCGGCCAACCTGTCTCCGAAGGGTGCATGCCCGCACTGAGCAAAGCAACACTTCTGCAAACAGTGCGAACCAGGGAACTGCCAGCCCTCCATGTGGGCGGGAGGGACATGTCAAGCGAGGTGTTGCGTCTTGTAGGAGCCAAGACTAACGTCGTGCAGCTTGAGCCACAGAGCTGCAGTTCGTCATTATAGGGTGGCACCGCAACGTCTTTCCACAATCTAATGCTGGCAACCCATTCGACTCACACACTCGCTCGCAGCTGGTATGGCTTCGGATCCTCTGAGCTTGTTATTGTTACACCCGCTACTGAGCTGTCGAGAAGGGCAGTACCCCTCGCGACTTGAAGGACTGTCTCAAGATAATGTCACTACTTTCAACCCTCTTCTGTTGTTCGCTGGTTTCGGGCAAGCTTCAGCAGCATAGCAGGTCCCAAAGTGCCCGCCCAACTTTTCCGTTGGCCCGCGGACACAAAGCCTTCAGCCGCTGCTCCGCTTCTGCGTAGGTCCAACTGGGCTTGTCATCAGCTCGCCCAAGGAGCTTGAAGTCAGCAATCAACGTCAAAGTCTCTTGGTGTGATTCATGACCCCGCAGGCTCTCAATGGCTTTGACTAGCAGGGAGACCCACTTTTGACGCTCAGGCTTCGCCAATGTACGTACAACGTTGTCAAGGTGGCCTGCGCACTGCATTACCGCAAAAAAATCGCTTGGCTGATTCCGGTGGGCTCTGACAGCACGTGTCCCATCCGCGTCAACGTGGCATCTGCAATCATCTGCTCCACAAACGGGAGGCCACCTTGACCATCGTTACGAACAATATGGTGCGCATCTAATCGCTCTTCTGTCTGCTCAGATTGATTGCATGACATCAGTTGCATGCTTATGTCTGTCTGCGGGCGGCTGTCGTCAACGGGTTTGAGCAAAATCAAAGCCGACTTGCGCCTTCCCATACTGAATCCATCCATCCATCCATCCATCCATCCATACGTTTACTTGTCTACAGAGAGTTAGGCAGTCTTGAGGCTTTCACAAGCCGTGCTGCGAGTTCCGACCATCAATCATCAATCCTGGTGGACGCCTCGTCGGCCAGTGTCGCCACTGCTACGCCGGCGATCGCCTGGCGCAAACGGAGAGAAGCCCCTGTACCCTTGCAGAGTGAGAAAGTATGCCAGGGCAAATTTTCTGGTTCAAACCGCCTGCCGGCGTGGAGCTGCCTGGCCGCAGGAGGGGCTGCTGGGCAGGGCTCGCAGTGTTGGCGTGTCACGACCGTCGGGGCATCCTCATACACGATAGCATTCAGAATGGCGTGCCTTCGTGGCCTGCATTGGTTCCACGCATGACTCATCCTCAGACAAGCGCGCTGCGAAAAGTGCACACACACACACAGACAAACCATCTTTCAAAGCGAATGAACGGCGCAAGCAATCTACACCTCGTAACCTATCAGCCTCAAGCCTCAGGGATAAAAATAAGCTTGAAGCTGCCTTATAGGAATCAGAACTCGAAACCATCTTGTATGCCCGGTGTGCATCCTGAAAGCTAGCCGCATCGTCATTTGCCAGGGTATGTGACACAACTTCTGTTCTACCGAGGGTCGCAGAGCACCCAGGCAGACGTGAGAGCCACAACCGCCAAACAAAGCAGCGAACCTGTGATGCAAGTGAGCCGCGAAACCTACAGTAACACAGCTTCCGAAGCATTCCTGCCAGTGCCTGCAGCTCCCGAAAACCGTACAGGGATGTAACAACAAAGCAAAAGCGTGCCGTGCCTCTCGAGTGCTTGCCGGTGGCCTGCGACCGCAGGATCAGCAGGCGGCTTCATGCGACTCTTGCTGTTCCTCTGTCGCTCGGTAGCATTGGCTGGCAGCAACGAGTGCTACTGTTCATGCTGACTTGACTCTGGTTTCACGACGAGGCTGCCGTCGAGCGGCTTTTAGGCTTTTAATCTGTCAGTCTCTTTGCTCTTTGAAACTAACGAGCAATCGAGGCAGTGCCGCGGTTTGGAGCTCTTTCGGCCTGCTAAGCAGATTCCGCGAGTTTCAAAAGCTGAAGTCAACGACAGCATACTCAACTTCAAACATCTTGCACTAACTCCGAGGCTTTGGTCTACAAGCGGCTAGATCTTCTGCGAGCGTCTCGTGAACCCGACATGCTACAACCCGCGCAGCATCGCTTTCTTCGCTTCTCTGCTTCTTCTCTCCAGCTCTTGACTCGTGACCTTGACATTCTGTCCTTCTCCTTCGGTCGGGCCGCATTGTGCAGGGCTTGCACTCCCCCGCCTCCCGTCAATGGGATCTGGGTCGATCTTTCTCCTTCTTAGTCTTCCCTTCGGCACGATTTCAAAGCTGCGGCCTTTCCTCTTGCTGCCGCAGCACGCGCCATGGCACCGGCAAATGCGGAAGAGCGCTGGAGCTGTCCTTCTAGGAAGGCTGTTGGGACCGTGCTTACAGAAGTTGTCTTGCACTCCACTGGAAGCTGCTGGACAGCTTACACCTCGCTGCTTTCGCTTGCGTTGGCTAGGTTCCATTCCTTAGGAAATACTGGCCGATGTCCAGATGCGAAGCGAGTCTGCTCAGCTGTCTCTTCGCTGGACCGCACTGGTCAAATCCTAGACCTCGGGGAGATGGGGGGGGGGGGGGCATCATCTGAGTTATGCCAGAACTGCTCGAGAGCGGCTCTCAGTTCTTCGCTTTGGTGAAACTGGGTGCTGACAGACGCTGCACTGTCCATTACAGCCTTTGAACTGTGACTGGTCTCGGGGACATCCAACTTGCCCGGTACATGCAAACATCATTGACACACAAAGGAATCTGGTACTACATGCATAAAGCTCCAGAAGACTGGAATTGGAAGTTGCCCGGCAAGGCAGGAAAAAGTGACTGGGCATTGGCACGGCATCTCGGGGAGACTTTGCAGCCCCGTAAGGCCAGAGTTAAACAATGAAGCATGAGCAACGAAGAAGTTTCTGTGACTCAGAACTCGCCGAGTTCACCCTCACACGTCAAAGCTTGCGAACATGAGCTTCGACATCGCCCTCTTTCTCAGCCACTGGCAGCCGGCCAGCGCGGCCAGCACCAGAAATTGCAGCAATTGCTGGACCAACCTTTGTCCCAACGGTTCCTTCGCATGGCACACTGCAGAAACCGAAGCATGAACCTGGATCAATTGGAGTGGCTCCTGGTCTTGTCATAAACAAAAGCTTTTTCATCGAAGAGCTGGTTGTACCTGACAGCACGGGAGCTACTGCAACAGAATCACGTCTGGCCTTTTTGGACTGACTCTAAACTGTGGGGCACTCTTCGTCATCCAGATCCTCTACCGGTACCCCGTCTCCCATGGAGGTCTGGTTGGCCTTAGCTTTGCCACTGAACAGTTGACCGGCAACCTCCGGATTCAATTCTCAGACTGGCGATGCCGATTGGATGCATGAGCTCCAAGCCACATAGTGCAAATTGTTTTTCCACTCGTGTCCCAGCTCATTCCTGTCGGTTCTGGGTCGTCACAAGTTCATGTACTCGCTGCTTACGATTGCATCTCCGACGATCCTGCTGACCAGCCCGACGTGTATTTGGAAGATAGGCCTGAATAGCAACAAGGCTATGCTGCCTGTCTTGCGCCGCATCTGAAGTTCTCACCTCTGAGGTTCCGGACACTTCAATTGCCAAGAGGACTACGGAGAATGCAAGGTGCAATCTCGGATGCAGAAATCCCACGCTTACACGTGCAGCTGCTCAAAAACGAGCTAACAAGCTCAACACGACAGCCAAGGCAAGAGCACCACCGCTACCTCGGCTTCCCAAAGGCCCTGTCCGCAACAGGCGAGGGAAGGAGTGCGGAACCAATCACGGACGACTCAAGCATGCAGATGCCTTTGTTGCAAGGAGCAACGCAAGATAGCCATCCAGGGCCACCCCAAGCCTCAAGACGGCAGACGAAAGCCCAACACACATCCAAAGCCAACGCAATGCTTGATGAGCTGAGGCAGTGGCAAGCCAATCAGGCACAGGCCTGAGAAGGGCTTGCAGTCAGATCATGTCTGCGAAAAAGCACTATACCAAATGAAAGAGGCCGTCGAAACTGGCGCAGCGAGCGCACAGAGCATCGGCGGAACTTGTTTCAAATCGTTCAGCTTGGCTGCCGGCCAATCAACATTAGGACGAATTCACGGTGGTTCAGGAGACCTCCAGGCAAGTTTACAAACGGCTTTCTCACAAGTAGGCTTGTAGCGCTTTTGACAAATCTGAGAACGGAACCGATGACGTTATTGACCCACTTACCTTATTCCAGCACGGCACAACAACCGCAAGGCTGGACGACGACCCACCATTCCTATCACCAGCTGCTGCTGCTGCAGCGGCAGTAATGGTCATACCGTCGGATCTTCCCACGGTACTGCCAGGACCTCGGAAGCAGAACGAAAGTCCGACGGCCTATCAGTCCAAGGCCTACAGTATCCTACAGTACCAACCCGGTGCGGGACTTATGAGCTCGGAGTGGGCGGTCACCCTGAGGCGAACTTGCTAGCTCCAGAATGCCGACACTGCCGCCCCAGACCTGCTCCAGGTCAATCCCGTCTAGCAGGATGTTCCGCGTCTTTTTGAGTTGCCCGGGGTCTGCCAAAGAGCAGTACCTGGAATGCAAAATCGCAGGATGCCCGCGAACGGCACCAACTGCCAACCAGGCCGGAGCTACCCCATCAACAGCACGGTGACTGCAGCAAGCCCAACTTGCAAGGCTATCAAAGGAGCCTCGCCAGTGTACTCCATGTCGGTGTCAGCACCAGGTACAGCCTACAGTGAAATCCCGCCTCGGCCTGGGACCATGACTGCAACCGGCACAACAGTGGAATCTGGACAAGCGCTAGGCAGATCGACCCTGCCACCTTACCCACAGGTCCAGTGCTAATGTAGCCCGCGATCAAAAACTGCCGTTGTCATTCTTCTGAGGTGCGGGCCACAGACACGCACAGCGCCTGCATTTATGCACTGCCCACGGCGCAACAGGGGCCAACTTCGCCGCAATACAAGTCGGTGCGGCGTAAGGCAAGGCGGGCTTGAAATCGCAGCCCCAAAAAACATATTCTCCCGTCCTCGCTGAGCGGCCGTCGTCTGGCTCAAGATCGTCTGGTGCCACACACTCTTGAGGCTGGGGCCCTTCGTCGCTTTCCCTCGCCTCATTCACGCACAAATCGTCGAAACACGGCTCCTGGCAAGTGCAGGATGTTCCGCAAGAGCCTCCACAAAAGCGTGCCTCGAAGTGACAACATGCCGGAGCGGCAGACTCCTGCGTGGCCTGCGTGGAGTCCTGCTCTTCTTGTGTTGTGGAAGATGAAGCCAAGAGCATCCTTGGACGAGGCCACAGGTAGCCACCGGTGGCCCTGCACGACCAACATAGACGAGGCTCGTTGGCGGCAGGTTGGCCCCCGTCTGACTTTGTGATCCAGGCCTTCATTCTGCGCTCACACGACATGCCCAGACTATAGGGTCGGCATAGCGTCTAGAGAAGGACGACTCAGGACTTCGCGGTAAGAGCCTTCCGTACCTAGCATTGAAGTGCGACTCGTCATGACCGTTATGCCATGTTTTGAGTCAGCGCACGTGGGCATCTGCTGTGGCGGCCAACCTGTCTCCGAAGGGTGCATGCCCGCACTGAGCAAAGCAACACTTCTGCAAACAGTGCGAACCAGGGAACTGCCAGCCCTCCATGTGGGCGGGAGGGACATGTCAAGCGAGGTGTTGCGTCTTGTAGGAGCCAAGACTAACGTCGTGCAGCTTGAGCCGCAGAGCTGCAGTTCGTCATTTTAGAGTGGCACCGCAACGTCTTTCCACAATCTAATGCTGGCAACCCATTCGACTCACACACTCGCTCGCAGCTGGTATGGCTTCGGATCCTCTGAGCTTGTTATTGTTACACCCGCTACTGAGCTGTCGAGAAGGGCAGTACCCCTCGCGACTTGAAGGACTGTCTCAAGATAATGTCACTACTTTCAACCCTCTTCTGTTGTTCGCTGGTTTCGGACAAGCTTCAGCAGCATAGCAGGTCCCAAAGTGCCCGCCCAACTTTTCCGTTGGCCCGCGGACACAAAGCCTTCAGCCGCTGCTCCGCTTCTGCGTAGGTCCAACTGGGCTTGTCATCAGCTCGCCCAAGGAGCTTGAAGTCAGCAATCAACGTCAAAGTCTCTTGGTGTGATTCATGACCCCGCAGGCTCTCAATGGCTTTGCTAGCAGGGAGACCCACTTTTGACGCTCAGGCTTCGCCAATGTACGTACAACGTTGTCAAGGTGGCCTGCGCACTGCATTACCGCAAAAAAGTCGCTTGGCTGATTCCGGTGGGCTCTGACAGCACGTGTCCCATCCGTCAACGTGGCATCTGCAATCATTTGCTCCACAAACGGGAGGCCACCTTGACCATCGTTACGAACAATATGGTGCGCAGGTTTCCTCAAGGATGCATCCTCGTCGGCACAGTGCCGAAGCAGATCTCGGAGGTTTCCCTCTCTCTCTCTCTCTCTCTCTCTGCCGTCTCGGAGGTTTGGACAAACAATCTCGGAGGCATCACTTTCTGCGAAATGGGTATCTCTCACTTTCGCCAGCCGCATACACCACCACTGACAGTCATAATCACAGTACTTTATCTGCTCTGCGTCGCTTCCGAGGACGTCGGCATCGAAGGCCGGACGCATCTCCTAGTGCTTTTCCTGATTTCCGAGCGCTTCCCGGAGCTTGTCCGCGCGAATCCAAAGGGCACGGTTGTCACTGCGAAGCTTGCTGCACTCATCTGCACTCGTTCAGCAGCAGCGTCTTCTCGTTGTTCAACTCACTGACCTTCTCGACCGGTGGCAAGCTCCACCAAGAGTCATGGACAAGCGACCCAGCACCTCCAATCCAACACATTCCAACCAGACCAACTTCACCGCAACTCAAGCCCACAAACCACAACAGCAGTAGCCTCGTCATCGTCATAATCGGCATCAACATCCGTGTCAGAGCGTGCATCACAAGCAACACCAAGATCATTCCAGCATCCAGCTTTGCAAAACAGAGGATAATCGGATGTTGCCTGTGAAATTTGCACCAAGCCACTCATCGCCGCTGCACCGAGGATGGCAGCTGCGCTGCGGCAGATGGCGGCATCGCAATGAACACTTTGATTCAGCACCCGGCCTCTACAGTGTCGAAGGTATCTGGACCCGGGGGTGTTTCAATGCCTCTTCGCCGACAGTACACACAAATGTGGAAGCCATCACGCTCTTCTACATGACGCTGCTTGAGGCGTCGACATGGATCAAACTGGCATGGGGGCAATCCTGCTTACAGCCAAAACGCTCCAGCTCGTTCGCATCAAGAGACCAAACCCAGGCTTTGTGTTTAGAGCTTAATAAAGGCTGAAAGTTTAGGGAGTTTAGAGTTCCATCTTGGGTTAGTGGCATACCTGAAAACGTGGTCAACCGTGCACATGACAAGTCTGGTATCTTGCCCCAGCCTCGTTTGAACATTCATCTGTAGTTGAACGACGTATCTGCCCGACATCCCATCGTAGCCTCCAAAGGCTACTCAATCCCAGCCCCCCTCAGACCGCCGAAAGGGTGGGGCTCGCCAAGCGAATCTCTAATCACTCGAGCGGAGACTTGGCATGATTATTCAAAGTGAAAATTTCTCGGGTGTAGTGGAATTTTCGGGTCGGCACACGCCAACCCGCTTTCTACCTCCTAGTAGAACAGGACGTATTGTCAGCGATGTGGCGCTGGCAAAACAAGCCTAAAGCTGGTTCTAGTCGAGACCACACGTATTCACTTCGCAAAAGCAAATCTAAACCTGCTGGACACGGGAGCTTCAGGCAGGGGGGCGGGAGGGCTGGCCTGCTGATGCTTCTGAATCAATCATTTGTCTGGTGGCGGGGGGCCCATGCTGACCTAATTATTGTAAGACGACCAAATAAGCTCCGAGATGCAGTTTGGACCTGGTTCTCTACTACTGAGGTGGGTGATGGTAGCTGAGTTGGGAAACGGCAACTCCCGCAAGCTGCACAGAGCTGGCTTTCGTGACATATGTGAACAACAGCCCCGCGCACAGCATTTTGAGCCGGCTGGTGGCGCACATGTGGCGCCCCAGAATGCGCCTCAACCGCGCCTGGATGGACTCCAGCCTGAGATCCGGGGAGAGCGGCAGATGATGTGACTCTCCAAACGACAAGAGGAGAGACAAGCCTGGCATGAGAAGAAAAATAATTCGAGGCCAGGGCAGACACGTCCAAGGTTTTCCAGGGTTGGATGGGCCCAAGAACAGTATGTATCAGCCCATTTCACCCGACATCTCTCTCATATTCTGGGCAAGTAAGACGTAAGACCGTCGGGGGACTTCGAAAAGACCCCACCGACTGCAAATGGGGCGAATCGGAGAACAAAAGAGAGACCGGTGCACGCATTGCTAAGCAAGGCTACAGATCCGCACAAACGCCCTGGAGACTTGAAGTCATGAATGAATGGTCGTCGTAGAGTCTTAGAGTCTGAACGGACAGGCGCCTCCTGCCCGCTGCTTGCGGCCAGAAGCCTGCATGAAGCTTCATCTCAGCACGGGTGTCTGTGGAAAGTGGCATGAGGCTGCTGAGAAAGGATGCACCGCCCATGGCACCCGATTCAATGCCTCGGTGAAGTCCTGCGAGAAAGGTCCAATGCTGTGGCGTCGCCTTTTGGCAGGCCTTGTCGCGTGCAAGAAACCAAAACTGAGATAGCAGAGTGAGGCTCTCTGCATCTCTCTGCTCTCTCAGCTCCGCAAGTTCAAGATGCTGAGACGCAACTGCCTTTCCATCGCATCAAGCTCCTGGTGAGCCTCTCAAAGTCTCGGAAACTCGTTTGGAAAGGGAATCAACAATCAATGTCTAGTGTGGTAGTGACTGCAGCTCGCACGGGGACATGGACAGAGGTCAAGTAAATCAAAACACGCACTATTTAATAAGTAAGGAGAGGCCGGCTTAGCGCAAAACTCTCCCTGGCCTTTCGAATCCGACCCATACAGCAAGCAGATGTGTCCTTGGGCCACTGCTGCACTTCCACCGCAGACACGTTTCCGCTAGCTCTCAAGCCGGCAAAAGCAACGGATGCTAAACAAGGTCAAGTCGCACGAGCTCCATTCATGTTACCGCCTCTTCAGGGTACAAAGCGTTTCAAGCCTAGCGGTTGTGCGGCCCACGTGATCCCACATACGCTTTCACCAAAGCAGCACACTCACCGCCAGAGTCGATAACAGGTCCACTTCGTCGTCCACACCGCAACAAGCAAAAGTTTCGCTGTCGGAGGTTCTCATGACTCTTTCGCAGATGTTTCCTCCGCCCGTCTAGCTGACTGAAGTCACTCGGCCGGGCCTAAAAATTGTACATGACTCGCAGATATTGAGGCAACAGGCTCGAAATCTTTTCACGAACGCAACTGCGTAGTTTTGTTTCCTCTGCGGTCGGGCATCCTACAGCTTCACTGCCTCCAGCATCTGCGGTGCAGGGCTACTCTATGTTTCCACGACTTCCCGCACCGCGAGAGCGCACAAGCCACGCAGGCAAGCCTGTACGATTTCCGCACTCGGCTCCACCACCGACAGGACAAGCTTTCGAAGGGCCAACCCCGAAAGAAGGCTGGGTCCGGGCAACTATTTCGTGTAAACTTCCGCGGTTGCCTCGGAGTACTGCTTCTTGCACCTCCGGCGGTTCCTGGCGAAGTGTGTTGGCTGCCCGTTCGCTCAGCTCGAACTCCTGCCATGCACTCGAGGCATCTCCAACGCAGGCGCAAGCAGAAGCTCCTTCGAGCTTGCAAGCCCATTTTTGGAACAGAATCGGCTGGAAGGTGATCGGTTGCTGCCTCTGCACCTCCCCTGCAACTTGTGGCGGGCAGGCCCTAACGAAATTCTCCACTGCAGAGCGCAGCTTTGGATCCACCCAGCCACGTCCTGGACGAGAAGGCATGTCGAGGCTTCCGATCTATGCGGTTGCTTAGACCGTGGCCGAAGCCAGGGTCAACCCTTGCCTCCATTTTGGTGGAAGTCTGGGCCTCCTGACCGTACCTCAAGCATTCGAGATGTCTTCTCCTGCAACAACTCCTGTGGAGCCACACACGATCCCGCCTCTTCTTGCCGCCTCCGCTTGCGCGAAATGCCAGCATGCGGGCTGCCGTTGCGCAGTGCCTCGCACAAGGAAGCCAGATCCGGACGCGTTCTGTACCAGCTACATCCAGCTACCTTCTGCTCTGCAACCTAACCACGGCCGCACCACAGTCTCAGCTCCCGACCTCCTGGGCCTCGCGACTCGCGCAGCAAACGGATGTCAACGAGTAAACTGAGTAAACTCTGACGATCCTGGGGTCTTCTCTACCGATGCTACCTTCTCCGGTGTCTTCAGTTCGGAACTGTCAGAAGCCCCGATCACTTCCCTTGCCACAATCGGAGCACAGAAAACGCAGCTGCTCAGGAAACCCGAAGCCTTTTGCTTCTGTCAAACGACCACTGTGAGTTCCGAAGAGCTCTGCTCTGTACGCAAACAACCATTTTTTGGCTCCCACTTGTCGGATAACAACCATTACTTTCTGTGGGATGGGAGCATGCACGGGGCGAGGTAGAATTTACGGTGCAGATGCCTGATTTTGACTTGATTCATTGATACACCCAGACCCCGCACGAAGTCTTCGGACTAGGGCTCCCCATCCAGGGCTGGAGGGACCACCGAGCTTTCTTTGCTGTTGGCAGGAATCCCTTCTTTGTCTCTCTCCTTGCTTTGCTCAAGGGCTTGCGGAACCCCCGGCCGCTCGGTCGAGCGGCCCCTCTCTCTGCCCTCCGCAACGCATGGGGAATAGGCCCCCGGCCACCAGGGTCCCCCAGTTTTCTGAGGCTTCGGGAGGATGTTGAGGGTCTCTCTTTCTTTCGCTAGGGGTCTTTCTTTCTGCAGGGCGTATTGGTCGTCAAGCGACCCTCAGGCCATTGGCCCGCCCAGCCCCCACTGTGTTACTAGTAGTGAGTGGCCGGCATTGGGGTTACTCCAGAGTGTGGCAACGAACGGGTTGAGGGTCTCTCTCTCTTGGCTGAGGGGTGTGGGTCTCCGAACAGACCCTGACCCGAAGGCCTACCAGGTCTCTCTCTCTCACTCTCTTCCCACCCGCCACTCAAATGCTCTACTGGCACAACTTTGCCCAAGCCTTCCTGATCCGGCCGACGCAGCCGGCACCAGGATCTCGACAGCCCTGGAGGCTTCCCTGGCACACAACACGCATTGAACCACCATGAACCATCGTAGTAAGCATCTGCCAGTCGCAAGCCCTGATGGAAGCTGAACGGCCTGGTCCAGCACGGCTCTTTGCACAGCAGCTGGCGCCTGGGAATTGGGGAATGTCGCCGACGAGCTCATGCCGAAGCATGGCGGACGCAGGTCACAACTAAGCCATATGCGATGATGCTACAGGCGTGCTGCATGGGAGAAGCCTATAGATGCCTGTAGTACTGGTTCGCAGGCGCGGGCCGCTTGAAAACTGTGAGTGAATAGGGCCCTGCGACCCGCAGCAGGCTTGATCAACGCAGAGGGAATTCTCAAGCCAAGCCATAGAATGGTAGACTTCTGTGCCGATGCACTGCAGGCTGCATGGCCAAAGCTGCACCACAAGCATGTTGTTCGGGGAGCTATAGAATCAGAGGAAGGTGAAGAGCTCAACAAGCACAGACTCCGCCTAGCTAAACTGCCAGACTGGCAGGAGGAATGTCCCTTTCGCATCGATTCGAAAGTGCGCCTCGTATAGGATGGATGTCGCACGGTCGCCTCGGCTGACGCCAGCAAGGCAAGCCGACCCAGTCTGCGCACACCAAGCGAAACAAGAACAAAGGCACATCCCGAAGGAGGAGATGCATCAAAATCAGGAACGGCAGGACAATCCAAAGCCAGACAAGGCCTCGCGACACTTAAACCGCAACAACACCAACCCTCACATGTCAACAAGGAAAGTGAATCCACCACCCCGAACCTATACTAAAATTGCATCACAAGGCGACCACTGGGCATGAGTTTCTACATGTGGCCAACGCAGCTTCAAAGCCGTATCTCAGGCAAGAACCGATGCTGTTCTGTTCTGCAAAGGCCGACAGTTCGTCGGTGGAGGGTGCCTCACAAGAAATCACACTGCCGATCATCGCAGTATGCTGCGCTACACAAATGCCGGTCGCCTGCAAGGCGTCCTCCGCAACGTGTGCAGATCTCCTCGGCATCACAGAGCTCAATCGGATCACTTGCCAATAACCTCCAATTCGAAAGCTGAAACCACAAACATTGAAAATCGGGGCCCGAGGCACTGTGCCTTGGCAATGCGGCCGATACAGCCGGCGCTCGGCTCGCGACAGCCACGCAGGCTCCCCTGCTCGAGGACCTGAATTTCCGCACATACTGCGTCCCCCTTTGCAACAATCCACTTCTCGTCCGACCAGCGCGATAGCACATACTTTCGGTAGGAACATGCGCAGCATGCGCTTTGGCGAGAGAGAGAGAGAGTGTGGGAGCGAAAGAAATGAAAACGCAGACACAGACGCAGACAATGCACATCATATCAGCATTCAGCCAGACCCAGTGGTGTATCAGTATCAGCATCTGCCTACGAGGACCAAGTCGAGAGCTGCTCGCCTGCTTTTGGATGATCGCAGGGATGCTCCGCAAGGCATCAGCGGCTCTCTCGTTCAGTTCGTTTTCCTCCACGAACCTCAGTGCTTGGACATGCGCTCCTGCATGTCAGGCTCTACAGTCCGAGTGAGGCAGGACATGAAATTGCTGTGTATCTCTTGGTGCGCAGAGAAGCCACCCAAATGGATGGGTTCTCTCACCACGCTGCGCCCACGTCTTCATTCTCAACACATTTTTCATCCCATGGCCCAGACATGGCTAAAACATTGCTGTACTTTGTGCTTCTCACCTACAGGGCCTAGGAGTGCCTGCGCTAGGACGAAGGGTCGACAAGATGCCGAACACTGATCAACGAACGATTTGGAACTTGGCTCCAACTCTGCCAGGCGGCTGCTCCACCTCAGCCTCTGAAGGAGTCCAGGGCTGAGAGGGCGGCAAAGATCTCCGCCGAGGCTGATGGCGGACCCCATCGTCGCCTTACTCTGCGCTGTGCGCATAAAGCTTCAAGACAGGCTTCCAGAGAGGGCAGTCCGCCTGTACCTACGATTTGCTCACCTGCAGGTTGTATGCATAAACGGAACGCGACTGCCACATAAAGCCTGATGCCACATGGCGACGGCATGTCTTCTACATGCTGCGCTGGCAATCCTATTTGCTTCATACCTTTTGTCATGCAAAGCGTTGATGCACTTATGCAACAGCCTAGATCCGAGGTGCCATATACCCTTTGACCGAATACGGCAGAATGCTGCGACGCCTCCAATCGTGCTTTCCGCCTGCCCCTCGTGTCGTTGCCATGATACTATGCGGCCATGCCCTTCTGTGTGTGCAAGCATATGTGTAGACATGTGTGTGCGTGTGCAACCCATCCTACACACGTACATTTTTTAGCACTCGCACTCGGCAAAGCAGGCGAGGTGTATAGGTGAACCTGTTTCGGGAGATAGCCGACACCTGAGCCCGACGTACATTAACACTCTTCTTACGACCACGACCACGACCACAGGACTCCTTGGTCCACAAACTTCCACCGTCTGCAACCCCCGACGATGTCCTCGACTCTACTCGTCGCGCCTCTCACAGGTCACATCAGCCCTCTCATGTAGAGCACCGCACACGTGGCAGACGTACTTACACACATACACACACGTACACTTACATCCATCCATTCATGCATCCATACAGGTCTTCATGCATGCACACATGCATGCGTGCATGCATCTCACCCGACATGGTCCCAGCCGCTTTGGTAGCATGCCCTATGTAAGAGAACTCCGTTTTTCACCGAGACTGCCACACCAGGTCACAAGCAGCATGTCCAAGTGCACGGATGCCCAGCCAAGCAGCCGCCCCGCACCAGTCAAGCAGACAGAAAAATGCGCAGACACACAGTGCAGGAGAACAGCTCTGCTGAGACGAATTGCTAGAGTAAAAGTGTGTACCTGGCATTTGATCAAGCAGTGTCGCTTTCTACGTGCCACGACCATACTGTGGCTCCTCAACCAACAGTTGGGGATCAGGCCGTCGGGGTGCCGGCCCGCAGCCGGAGAGCCATGGTACTGGTTCCTCAGCATTCCGACATCGTGGCAATGGACCCTCCTTGACTCGCTGCGACAAGAGCTGCAACTCAAAACTACTGAGCTGACCGACAATCACTTACCAGACTAGAGATGACAAGTTCGGCACTGACTGTGCAGGATGCTTGCCAGAGTCTTAAACAGCACAGTCGGCGTTGGTCCACGGAGATGACTCAAAGGGCACTGCATCAGATCAAGGGACCTTGCTTGAGCTTTCGCGATGCGGCCGATGCAGCCTGAAGGGCAGAGGAACAGAGACAGGAGGAACCATGTCAGCCATACAACTCCGTGATCTTAGAGAGGCACGCATTCGCACTGTCAGTTTTACAGGTCCTACAGCAGCAGTCCCAGAGACTGTTCCCACAACCGTTCAGGCCTGCACTAGGTTCGCGGCAGGAAGCCAAACTTCCCTGTGACAGAACCTGTGATGCAGGGATCTCAAGTTTTCCTGCCAGCCTTCGATCCACTCACGGGTTAGCTTGCTCAACACGATCCAAGCTGCATCCATCTGTATGTCTGGGGCGACCCCTCCTTGGTTTCTGCTCTCCCGAGCATAGAGGCATAGAATGCCACGCATGATCGAAGGAGGCAGGACATGCCGGCTGAGGCACGAAGCGCATCCGCTGCGCGCTCGTTGAGTTGATTCTCCCAGATAAATGTGTCCAGCTCGTCAGCAGTCGGCTCAGCTGCAGTGGGACCTGCAATGCCCAAAAGGCTCATGCTTCTAGTCTCTAGGCTCCAGTCAAATCACGGCGGGGGCACGCTCGGGAGGCTGAGGTGGAGGGGTCCAGTGCGCCTGCGAGCGAAGGTTGCGAGGCTCGGCATGGCATGGTCAAGGCTCACCCTGCCTCCTCCACGAGTGGAAGGTGCAATGCAGCCTCCACATGAACAAAGAGCGAATCTCTATCAAACCAGCCTTGCAGGTCGCATGTGACCCTGACACGGCCTCAGCCTTTCGTATTCGGCCGATGCCTGGCAGAAGCTACCAGTTCCGGTGTGCCATGCTTCAACACCTATTAAGTGCCATCTTCGTCGCAGCCCCTTGCGGTCGAGCTGCAACCAGCGCTTGGTTCTCTGCACGTGGCAAGACTGCCCTGCTCAATCACCTGCAATAGGGCTCCGACCCAAAAACCTGCTCTCTTTATCTCTCTCTAGCAATCTCTTCTTCTATCCTTTTCTCCAAGGCACAAAGGGCGATTTAAGGCTTCCGGGCACTTGGCTCGCCCATATTGGGCTTTTGAGGGGAGTGAAAGGTGGGCTCAGCGAACGACTGAAAAGAGATTTTTAGTATTATTCGATATGTTGATTTTCAGTCACTGCTTTGACACTGAACCTGATCCCCCTGGGGCCAAGCTGTCGCGATCTCGGGATATTCCTCTGATCTCGAGTTCAAGGTGCGCTCTGCATCGAAAAGTTGCATAGTCATGCACTCGGATTGGCTCACCACACGAAAGAGTGGAAACCAAACATGCGCACAAGAGGTCTCCCTCTCTCTCTCTCTCTCTCTCTGTCTCTCTCTCTCTCTCTCTCTCTCTGTGCCTGACGTTGTACTTCCTCAGCTGTGCCTCGAAGCGCACTGGATGCCCGGTTATTCAATTCCTGAGCGCCCAAGTACTTCGGCACTCCTACCCTCAAGAAAATCAAGAACAGCAGCAATTAGAATGGCTATATTTATCCGTGTTCTATCATTCCGGGGCATCCAACCGGCTGAAGAAGGCTACGGTCAGATGAGCACAATCGTAAGCGAAATGCGCAGGCAGTGGTAAGAGGAAAGTGTGAATCAGCCTGTCCACGAAAGCGTGGCTGCATACCCTGTGACTCCAAATGTTGATGCCCTTGAACTGAAATCAAACTACGTGCACTCGGACTGACTAATTTAGTCAGTCCGAGTGCACGGTAAAACCCTTTTGCCGTGTGCTTTGTGCTTGGTGGATCTTGATGGTGTACTTCATCGTCGCACTGTGTGACTGTCGTTTTCGGCTCGTCTCGATCTTTTGCTTCAGCCTGACAGCTTTGCATCAGGTTGCATTGTCAAGGATGAACTGCTCCAGCAGCTCCGGCAGTGTTTCCGTAGCTGGCGCAGGATCATCCCAGGCCTTCACGTAGCTCAATCTTTTGACACCAACTACATTCAACTTCTGCGAATTCTGGGTATCTGAGCATCTGGGTGCTTGCCACTACTTCACAAGGACCCGGAACCCAACTCTACACCCTGGAGCCGAACAAGGACGCAGATCTCCTCGAACTCCGTCCACTGACTGGAGACTGCCTCGGCCGGAAACTCGCTGTCCTGACCAGGTTCGTGCACAAGCGCCTTTTGGCAGCGGACCTACCGAAACGCGGTGTACATCAATGCAGAAGTTGGTTTCAATTACAACGTTCCGGTGCGTGAGCCGAGCGGGACTGAAGAGGGTCTTCCGAGCCGATCAACCAGAGTCCAGACTGCCAGCAGGACAACAAGCCGCACTTTTGCATCTTTACGAACCACTCTTTCGACGTGCGTAGTCTTGGTCTTGCCAAGCTGTCAAGCGCGGAAACGAGCACCCAAGCACCGATGCACCCCCCCCCCCCCGGCACACACCAACAGTTCAGCCTCGCACCTCCGCCTCCCCGCAAGGTACGAGTGTGGCGCGCCCACGCGACACGTGCCGTTGCTCCACCCTTTTGACGGAGCCATGCTGTGTAGCACATGGTCAAAAACGTCAGACAAAGGTGAGATCGGCTCACGGCCGAGTATCGAGGGGCACTTCCTCGTCCTCGTCGTAACTCGGGGCGCCCCTCCTGACTGCTGGCACAAGTATTCAAACGTCAGGCCATGCTAGTGCGAAAAGCTCCTGACACCTTGTTTATGCTTGCTCGAAGGCTTTCTCAATGCGTGATCTTCACTGACATGTAATCGAATCTGTCGAGTCTCTTTTCTCGGGCCCGCCGAGGTTCTCGACGTGAGGGCATCCTGCGGACGGCCGTCGGCACAACTCATGTAGCAATGACAAAGACGGTAACGATAGGCATCCTAGAGACAGCAAGGGCGACTTCGCAACTGAGCTGTGTATCTTCGGGTGAGCCTCTGTAGCTTTCCGATGCGCCCGACACAGGCAGCACTGGGCTCACGGGTGCCATAAAGACTGCCTTGATCCAGGACCTGCAGCACCAGGAGTTCGCATCGCCCTCTTAAGTCCAACATTGACGTCTCAACTGCGACCCCTGGAGGCTCATCGCTTCTTGTTCAACCTCCAACTCTTCGCCCCCGAAAGTGTAGTTGCTGACGAGGCGTCGGACAAACTGAAAAGACAGCTATAGTAATCAACCCTTGCGCCCTTCATCCTCCGTACATGCATACCCCACTCCAAGCTAGCCAAAAACCTGAACCAGAGCGGGGTGGTCAGCTCCAAACACCGTGCGCTGCCATGATGATGCTGAACACTCGGGGGAAGAGTGAAGAGGACAGGCAACGTAGGTGTGGTGACCTTGCGCTGCACCGACGGCGCTGAAGATCGTAGCAAAGATGCAGCCCGGGCCTGGATATCTCTCACTCAGACGAAATGACGGACAGCCAGATCTCAACAAGGATTAAGGCACCTGCACGTACTGCAGACATGTACACATACGCCCGATGTTTGCCACTTGTTTGTTTGTACTGGGAAGCCTAAGCAAAGGCTTGTAAGCGTACACACATATTGGGATTACGTGTGCGTGTGTGTGTGTGTATATATATATATATGCAAAGTTTTGCCTATGTCTGTCAGACTGGATGTGCAAGCGTGCCATTGATGGGCTTGAACGCACCAAGCACCGATAATCAGTAGATGCAGTGTGCGAATTGGGTTTATCGTGTATCTGTGGGTGTAGCCACTTGTTGTTGCAGGTCCGTGCGTGCGCATGGGCACGCTACGGCCTGCTCGAACTCTTTTGACGGAGCAAAGAACCTGAGGCTTGCCATCCTGCTTCCCAGCACGGCAGCTCTGTTTTCACTCTGTTGGAACCTCGTGACCCACAGCACTGTAACCTTGAGCATGCCTAAGCTCGGCCTTTAGGCTTGACATGCTTGACTCTCTTGTGCCCTCAATGCACACGGTCAAGAATCTAGAAGTCTCCGGAAAGCCACCATGATAGCCAGCTAGGCAGATAAATAGACAGATGACAGATAGGGATCATCTTTACTTGACGGTATACCTTCAGCCTCCTGGCTTTGCTTGTACGTACCGTAACTTTTGGGGGAGGAACTCTTAGCTTGCCCTCGTGTAACTGCAGACGGAATTTTGCGACCAAGTCACGCTCAGGCCGTTGTCCTGGATGAAGCTCTCCACCTCCTGACATGGACTTCGCGCAGATGACACAGCAGCTGCACAGCAGGGCTCGTGTGCTTAGACGCGGCTGGGGTGTGCAGGGCTGGATGCAGACCTCACAATCCATCTTAACAGCAAACCATGGCGGCAAGCCCTTCAAATGATGCACTTCTGAGGCGAGAGGTCTAACAGGGTGCCAGTCGGGTCTCGTCTGCTTGCGCCGACATCTGTGCTCGGTGAAGTCCTCAAGCGAATGAGGGAGGGTTTCGGGCTCCACAATCTGCAACGGACTCAAGACTTCAGACTTGAGTGAAGTTGGGAGGCTCAGATTAGACTAGGCCGCTTGACTGGCCAACCTGGCCCTCCTGCACAAAGTCCAAAAACGGCCCAACACGCTACCTCCGCTTCGTCTGCAAGCCCCTTAACATCCCTCGAGAAGCCGCGGCTCGACCAATGCATCCGGCATTCGGATCTCTGCAAGTGAAGAGGCTGCCCTGGCATTAGCACCAGAGTTCGGATGTTGTTTGGAATGTCATCTCGCTTCTATGCGTGCAATCAAGAGTCGAGACAAAACCCACAGTGTTCTGCAGGATTCGATAGTTGCACTGCTTTGCGCGGCAAGTCAATGTCATGCATAGAACGCACTTTCAGCAGAAGTCATGAGCACTGCTTGCCCGCTTGCCACCTGGTCCAGGACCTGGCGCTGCACCCAAGATGCTGCTCCGCGAAGCGCTTGTGCTGCTCGCTCGTCCAAGCGGTTGTCCTTTGACCCGAGCGTGATCAAAGGGCGCCCAGGGCACGACGGACAGGACAGACGGGACAAGCCAAGACAGCCAGGCGGCCGCTATAAAGTCTTCCACTTCGTCAACTGGTGGCGCATGACGCACTGCCTCTGCAAGGCTCGGTTGCAGGCGCATTAGGCAGTTTCGCCACACGAAAATGCACGGCCGAGCTGCTAGAAGTGCAGGATCCAACTGCTTCTGCGCTTTCCCGATTCGGCCGATGCCTCGTTTGCCACTCTTGCAAAGCCTTTGAACGAAAGACTTCCAGAAGGTCCTGGAACGTCTGACCTGTTTTCTTCGGTCGTTCACATCTGGAATTCTGGAATGCAACTCAGAAACAGCCAGCGCTCGGCTCACGGCAGCTCCGAAGGCTTCCCTGCGACGAGCATCCAGCAGTTGCCGCTTCAAATAAAATCCGTGTAATGTCACTTGCAAAATCACTGCGACCTGCTCCAGCACGTGATGTTGCACAGCTGGAGGAACGCCTGATTATGCGGCTCGAAACCGGCTCTTCAGCTTGCGTAACCGTTACAACTTTGAAGTCTCCATCTACATAACACAATTTCCATCTCGCATGGAAAGGAGCTGCAAGTTCGACGCCCGTTCGGCTACGTCGCAGCACAGGCCCACGAGGCTGGGCAAGTCATGCGGTGTATCTATGCCTCTGAGAATGAATTTGCAAAGCCGGTTGGCACTGGCATACAACACAGATGCCAGACTCTTGGCGTCTACAGAAGTCAACCCCAACAGTTTAAGCGCCGAAGGCTGCACGAGGAGTGAGGAGAGATAATCCGCGTCGTGCTGTGAGATGATCGGAGAAGCACACAGCCTGCAAGAAACCCCTCCTCTGAGCGCTTCTGCTGCCCGCTCGTTCAGGCCGTTGTCTTCCACAAAGAACTCGATTTCCTCACACAGGTTGGTTCATGACGGCTCTTCCGAAAATTGCAAAATGCACCTGCAATGCACTTTCTTGAGTCAAGGGCTGGGGCCGGACGTCAGGCCCTGAATCCCTTCAGCCATCTTCAGCCAAGCTTCAAATGCCAGCACTTATGGCTGAGCACGGAGGCATGTGTTGAGAAGACACAATCTTTACTCGATCTCGAAAAGGTCACCTGAAAGTAGAAACTGATACCATAACCAGCTGCTCAACTGCTGCTGGATTGCAAGCCGAGGATCATCCCTCGTCGGATAGACAACAGATGCTGCCGTTGCAGGAGCCTTCGTGGCAGCCTGTGGGAGGTCTTACAAGCGCGGCATAAAACTTACAATGAGTCTCGGAGGTTGTTCCTTATGGTGTGCTGGCAGATACCACACATCGTTCTAACAGCCATCCACCGCAGTCCGGCGAACGAACCGAACGTCTCCTGCACAAGTGTTGCTACACCAGCTGGAAGACCTGATTAACAGGTAGAGTACCACTGGGAAATCTTGCTCAGAAACTTGGCTTGTCCTCTCGCTTGGAACGGCCAGCCTGCGCTCTGTTGATACGCGAGAGGCAGCCTCCATTTGGATCACGACAGCTGCGAAGGCTTCCCTGAGCGAGACGGCCCCGGCGCCAACTCTAACTCTGGCTTCCAATGCCTATCCCATTTCCCATTTTACCCAAAACAGCTCTGAGGTCCCGCTTCGAAACAACTGAAGCTGCTGAAGCCTGTAAGATCCCTTCTGATCCTTTCTGGAACACTTCGCTCACTTTGCCCCAGCTCTGCTCCTGCATGCGCCTGTTCGAGGACCTTCCGCTGCACTGGCGATGCTACAGAGCGAAGAGTTGCTGCTGCCTTGCCGCTGAGGCAGTTTGTACCTTGGCGCAAGCTAGCTTGCTGCAGCTTGCTTGATGCAGCTATTTTCCACGTTGACATGAAGTCGCGCCCCGTTCCTGTAGGCTCCATGACTGGGGCTAAGCCTCCGACGAGAGACTGCACAACCCGGACACTTGGACTCAGCTGCGTCTCAAGTCCTAGTGATGTGCTTCAGGTCGCCTCGTGAAGACTTGTGGCGAGGATTCTGAACTCCGGCGCCGTGTGGGATCCTGAAGTGCATCCAAAACACTGATGAAGTCCTCCACGGACGCCTGGTGCAAGAACGGGAAAATCTGCTTAGTTTCCACTTGCCATGGCCTTGCTACCTTTGGTCTCTTTACACGAAAGTCACAGGCCCCGCTCTCTGGCCGTTGCAGGATCACGCCTCATCTGGGGCACCCCTGCGCAGCTTCTCCGCCTGCACGGGCCCAGATCTAAGCTGATGTTGAGTGTCTTCACGGGCTTGTCAGCAACCGCAGGCCGATGAATGCTGACTCCCGGGTCCCGGCCTTGCGAATGCGACCCACGCACCCTGCAGACGGATCCCTGCATGTCCGCAGACTTCCCCCCTGACGCAGGGCCACAGGCCTACACCACAAGCCTACACTGGCAGAGAGCCCTCGCGACCAATGTGTGAAACTTCTACGGCTCTGGGAGCGCGCATGCCGTGTGCGTTTGGAAGTAAGCTAAAATCAAATCCCATCAACAGCTGGCTCCTCCAGGACAGCGCGCTGGATGCTCCCAGGCGCCTCGCGCAGCAAAGCTGCCTGGATGGGGCTTGGTTTCGACTCCGAGTCCCGTTGTTGCGACCTCCCGGAGAAACATGGAGGATTTCGAGAATCCAAGAAGCGGCGTTCTCATCAATGTTGTTCTCTTCCTCACGGAAACAAGCTGGTCGCCCCTGCTGCATCGATCAATGGGGAAGCTCAGTGGTTTGGTCAAGGCTCGATGAAATGCTCCAGCTCCCCATTGTCGCTGAGCATTGCAGATGGACACGTGATTGTGAAAGGTAGTTGCGGCACGTGTTGCAGTCGCTGAACGGATTGACTATTCTGTTTTTGGTTCATGAGCTCTGTGTTACGAGTACAATCGGGTGGACTTGGGTGGACGGAAAGCTCTCGCAGGCCGGCAGCTGCGACCCAACCCTCATTGCATATTGCATGTAGGTGCTGTTGATGATGACCTCTGGCCCTGAACCCTACACGACCTCAGCTCCAACATGCTGCAGTAGCTAGCGAGGCTTGGCTAAGCAGTTCGATCTCTAGTTAGTTCCATTGTAACTTGGGTTTGTCGGCCGATTTGGCACTGTGGGGCGCGCCCAACATGATTTCTCAATATGTTGGAAATTCAGTCGGCGACCCATATTGCATCCACTGAGCCACAAGGCTGGTCGGCAGAGGGCTGGTAGCTATGAGTTCACTGCATTCGGACACTTCAGACAAGGATCGGCCAAAAGGCCAAAACTGGGACCGGGGACGTTCCACTCCCAATGCTCAGGCAATCCACTTTCCAGCGTAACAGACTCCAAAGTCTTGCCATTAGGTCTATATTTCTCAACTGCGAGGAGCTCGATTCGCAGCTGCCACCAAGCTAAGTCTGCTGAACATCAGCTAGATGAGTGACTGCGGCTTTTGCTCTCGAGAGCCGTGCTGAATGATGCCAACTGCACGCGCAGGAAATCTGCCTAGGTTTCATCGTTCATCTTCCGGCAGCTCGCAGGCTTATCGGAGCTTCGTCGGAGCGAGATGCAGACGGCTGCTCGCTGCCTGAGCAGCGGCAGCGCTCCTCCTCATGAGCGCAATCCTGCAAGGATTCGAACAGCACGGAAAGCATGCAGGCCGAAGTTTCCAGTCAGTACCACCGCATCTCGTTGCATGTCGTAGTCGTCGACAGCGCTCCATGGCAACTTGATGCAGCCGTGATCACGTTGAAGCGTGTGCTTGCTGACCACGTCGCTTCAGAAAGAGGTCGACCCGAGCCGCCAGCTTAAAAGAGTCCTCAACCTCAGCTGTCAGAAGGTGAAAGGCCACAAGTTCGCGAGCATAAGCGCATCCAATCTTGCGACAAGGCGCCGGGTCCAGAGTTGAATCGGCTCCAGGATCAGCAGAGTCTCCCTCTTCACAAGCAAGGGAAGATGAGATATCGTGGCTGGGCAGGTCTCCGGGACAGTGTTGTGGTGGCGGCGGCGGTGGCACTGACTGTGATGGGAACGGCAGCATGTCACGAAGCTCATCCAAAAGGTCATCGAGCTGGCCTGTGACTGTGATGCAAGACTCAAAACACTCGGTCTTGCATTTCGACACTGGCATCTCCAGCCCAAGCCGGCTACGGGCTGAGCGGGAAGGAAAAGCAGCTCTTCCGGCCTCGCTCCACGGTGTCACTCTCGTGCCTGGCCCTCTGTAGCCCATCCCACAACTGTTCAGGAGTGACCTGAGCAGGACTGGTCAGAGGTTCGCCGGACTCGTAAAGCTTCCCAATCAAAACGTCTGCAGCCTAGGCTCGTAGCTGCCAAGCGATGCGGTAGCCCGAGCTTCGACATCGCCGGCCTTCCGTTCACCGGTGATGCTGTCGACACTCCCGTCGGTCCGTACAGATGCCAGCAAGGCGACGGCGTCGCCCCAGTCGGAACCGGTTCCGGAGGGCATCTGCATGGCGGAGGGCATGGTGATCCCTGGCGTGCCTGGATTGTACGCCTCTGACAGGTCATCCTGGCGGCTGTTGGAGAAGAGGTTGGACGACAAGCTTGCGTTGAACGACGCTGCCGCCATGGTCCCAGCAGCCTCAACCGAAAACGTCTCCCACAAAGCAGGCTCACCCAGGAGCTGCGAGGCACTAGGTCGCTTCGTAGGGTCCTTGTCCAGCAGCCGCGAAACAAGCTCAATCAAGACTGAAGAGTAGCCAGCCATGCGCAAAGGCTCGGGATCGTAGCTGTTGAAGGCGATCTGGTACACCAGAGCCAGGACGTTGGAACCGCAGAATGGCAGCCTTAAGGCCATGAGTTCATACAGGACGACCCCGATTGCCCACATGTCCACTGCAGAAGCGTAGCGCTGATTCCACAGGAGCTCAGGGGCCATGTAGGCAGGCGTGCCTACGCAACCCGAGGCTGACTTTCCACTCTCCAGTGCCGTTGAAATTCCAAAGTCTCCCAACTTACATGTTCGCCACGTATCCTTCAAGAAGACATTCATGGCCTTCAAGTCCCTGTGGATTATCTCCTTCTGGTGTACATGATCCAGCCCCTTCAGCATCTGCTGAAGCCAGCTAAGGACAAGGACTTCCTCCAAGTGCTGCCCGCTCTGACCCGCAGCTTGCACAGGCACACGCAAATCACCGTTCTCAGCACACTCCATCACAAGCGTCAGCCGCCCCGAATCGGGACCCGCACCTATCCACCAGCTCTCGATATACTCGATTATACTCTCGTGCCGCAGGCTCTTCAGGATTTGAATTTCTTTCAGAGCCCGCAAACGGCCCTGTGCATCCAACCCGCGAAGAGCGATAGCCTTCACCACGAACTGCCGCTCGGGTAAGCCAAGCCGGTGCACGACCATCACCGTCGCCGTCGTCGAGCCGCCCAGTCGGCGAAGCGGCTGATATCCATGTGCCTCCAGAGATATCTCAGCAGCCATCCTCTGAAGGGAAGCAGCGAAGGCCACGTCCTGAGCCGCACGTGCCAAATGCTTCTCAGCGTCTTCGCAGGCCCCAATCTGCCGCTGAGCCGGGCTGTGTCGCTCGTCATCGTCACACTTCGGCGGCTGGTGCGATGGCACATCAGGCCTGGAGCTACCAATCGACCTCAAGAGTTCCTCGAACCGGTCAAGTGACACATTATCACTCTCCTCTCTCGTCCTTAAGATTTCCTCCCACAGCTTGACGTCTGAGACCACACTCCCCAGCGACTCTGCATTTGTCAGAGTTGCAGGAATGGCACCAGTCACAGTATCTGTGCCCATGGATGCCAGCAAGGCGACGGCGTCGCCCCAGTCGGAACCGGTTCCGGAGGGCATCTGCATGGCGGAGGGCATGGTGATTCCTGGCGTGCCTGGATTGTACGCCTCTGACAGGTCATCCTGGCGGCTGTTGGAGAAGAGGTTGGACGACAAGCTTGCGTTGAACGACGCTGCCGCCATGGTCCCAGCAGCCTCAATCGAAAACGTCTCCCACAAAGCAGGCTCACCCAGGAGCTGCGAGGCACTAGGTCGCTTCGTAGGGTCCTTGTCCAGCAGCCGCGAAACAAGCTCAATCAAGACTGAAGAGTAGCCAGCCATGCGCAAAGGCTCGGGATCGTAGCTGTTGAAGGCGATCTGGTACACCAGAGCCAGGACGTTGGAACCGCAGAATGGCAGCCTTAAGGCCATGAGTTCATACAGGACGACCCCGATTGCCCACATGTCCACTGCAGAAGCGTAGCGCTGATTCCACAGGAGCTCAGGGGCCATGTAGGCAGGCGTGCCTACGCAACCCGAGGCTGACTTTCCACTCTCCAGTGCCGTTGAAATTCCAAAGTCTCCCAACTTACATGTTCGCCACGTATCCTTCAAGAAGACATTCATGGCCTTCAAGTCCCTGTGGATTATCTCCTTCTGGTGTACATGATCCAGCCCCTTCAGCATCTGCTGAAGCCAGCTAAGGACAAGGACTTCCTCCAAGTGCTGCCCACTCTGACCCGCAGCTTGCACAGGCACACGCAAATCACCGTTCTCAGCACACTCCATCACAAGCGTCAGCCGCCCCGAATCGGGACCCGCACCTATCCACCAGCTCTCGATATACTCGATTATACTCTCGTGCCGCAGGCTCTTCAGGATTTGAATTTCTTTCAGAGCCCGCAAACGGCCCTGTGCATCCAACCCGCGAAGAGCGATAGCCTTCACCACGAACTGCCGCTCGGGTAAGCCAAGCCGGTGCACGACCATCACCGTCGCCGTCGTCGAGCCGCCCAGTCGGCGAAGCGGTACCTCGGCAGGAGCTGTGGCTCTGGCCCTGCAACTTTGTCCGCAGGACTCCCTACGAAGGCTTTAGCCGCCTCTTCAGCCCCAGAGAGCTGTAAAATGTCGCCTGGAGCTGTGCAATGCCGTGTGACTCGGAGACGGCATCTGGCGAATCCCATGGAATGTACCGGACACTTCCACAGGTGTTCCGTGGCAAATGCAAAAACTCCATTCCTGAATGTGCTGTCTCGCCGCATAGCCGTGTGCCTCAAGCGACACCTCGGACGCCAGACGCCTGGGCGGCAACGAGAGATGAATGAGCCTACCGGAGCGCGCTGCACACGCGATCCAACGCAAGCCGCAACTTCACCACCCACTTCCCCGTTCTGTGCCATGGCGCAGCAGAGAAGCTGCGGAGGCTGCCTCCTCCGCGGCACGTGCCACCTCCACATGCATAAGCCACATTACCCTGACCAATGGTAGCTTTGCAGAAGTAATAAGTCACGAAGGCTTGACAAAGTTTCTGCCCTCTTGTCTCGGCACTCCTTCTTGGCAACTACGGCGGTCAACAACGTACCATGACAAACATGATGGGCCATCATTGGATGTAAGTCCTCTCGTTCATGCATCCTCAAACACGTGCGTCTCACAAACGAAGCAGCTAATGATTCCGCACCTCTTCATCTCTGCTGCTCGCTGGCGCAGCGAGAGGTGACACACAATCCTCCATCCGAGGAGACCCTATCAACTTCTATTCTGTTCTGCTTGCCAATTCAGGCTTCTGTCGCCTGTCACATCTGGTAGTCATGCTTTGCAACACAAGGCCACAATGAGAGCCTGTCAAGCTTGAGCGATGGATTCCATCGTATGCCTCAGCAAGTGCCTTTAGCCTTCCGTCGAGATCCCGAGAGGTGGCAGCACCAGCAGGAATGTCTTCGGAGAGCGTCACCTTTGCACCCCAGGCGCCTCTTCGCTGTACAAAGTTCTTGCAGCGCGTCTGTACAGGCAAATCATCCGACTCGAGACTGGCTCGAGATAACTCGCCTCAAGCCACGAGATGCACGGGATTCCCCAAAGGTGCTCAACTATCTCTCTGCAGCTAGCCGTTTAACAGCCCAGATCATCATCACCGTAAAGCTGGTCATCGGAATCCACATCGAGCCCCACGGTCGGCCTGGGGGCGAATCACGGCGACTTGGGCCAATGGCTAATCACTCTCCAAATCCAGTCTGTGTGCTTAGGCCTCAGGCATGGGCAGCTTCAATTCCGCGGAAACGGATGCCTCCGGATCAACTTCAAGTTCTTCTGCCTCCTCCTGGTGGCGAGGATGCGAGGAAAGCGAAAATCCAGGCAGCGGTGGGCACGATGCAGCAGCAGACCTATCATGACGCTGACGGTGATGACCGCCTCTGCCTCAAGGCCAAGTGGCCGCGCATTCTGCCTAAACTCCTCCGCATGCAAGCGCCTCCGCCTACCCCAGGCATGCCTGCCCTGCGCAACTCCAACTAAAAACACCCGGACCAAAAGCCGCGGAAAGTCCTCATCTTCATCACCATGCCAAAGTTCAGCCCCAAGCTCGTTCATCACCTGCGCAGTTGGCATCTCAGGCGACCTCAACCTTCAACAATTTTGGAAGTCTCGACCCGCGCCTCATCGAAGAAGAGGCCTGCAGGCTGTCGCACCAAGGAGATGGCATTGCCGTCGTAGCCTCTGCCCCGTTGGGTCCGTATGCGGCTGAGGTTGCTGAGTACTGCTGCAGCTTGGAATGACCTTCTGCTTTCTCACATCGGTCCTTCCATGTCCTTCCTGTCTGTCACGGATCTACCGAGTGCTCACACCAATGCAGGAAACACCGTCCGTCGGAAGAAACCCTTAACAAACCTTCTACAGACACCTGTCGAGAAGCAGGTGTCATCGAAGTTGACCATGATGACGGGAATTCCGCGGCGGAGCGCTTCGGCCGGCAACTCGTTGGCGGGCCGAACAATCCTTCCGTCAAAAGAGCCAGTGCCGCTCGTCTGGCGTGTTCGCAACGTGTTGACTTGAAGCAAGGCGGTTCTATCAGCAGCTGTGGCTCAGAGTGCTGCCAATTACAACGAGGAGGTCCGACTTCTGGATTGTGGTTCTTGCTTCCTCCACGGCACCACTCGGCATAGACTGCTCGAACATCACGGTCTCCGTACGGAGAGGCGAACCGCACTTCGGACATGTAGGAACTTCAGCATGGCCACAGGCTGATGTGTCGCATGCCTGACAGGTTTCATGGTCAACACCGTCACCAGGTCACAAATTTGGGGCCCCTTGACTGAGCTGAGGTGCAAAATCACAGGTGCCCGTCCCAAAGGGCTCTGGGTTGAGAGTGGTGCGATAGTCGGAGCATATCAGGCGCCGCATGTGACCGTGGAGCTCGTTTACCTTCCGGAGGCCGGTTATACGAGGCACTTATTCATACATACAGTTCTTGACCGTCTGAAGCCTGAAGCTCCGTTCCTGCGATGTCCTGCCTTCTCGCCGGGAACGCCACCACGCTGATGCAGTGAATCGATGTTCTGCGTGATTACCCCTGCAAGCCTCCAAGCCGAGGAACGGGCGCAGTCACGCTGACTTGACGCTGCTTTTGACAAGCGAAGCTCTTTGCAAGGGCTACGGGAAAGGACTCAACCGATGACCCAAACGCAAAACGCAAGCGAAGCCGAATTGGCCAAGAGTTGGGGTTCCGTCCAGCAACTTGCCACGCTTCTCCAGCTCGCCGAAGAAGCAGTGTGCAGGATTGGGTTCTGCCATGCTCATCTCGTTCATGAGCTTGCGCTTCATCACCCACCACTTCGCTCGAATCTCCCGATCGTGATTGAAATTTCCAACCTCTAGACTTTCAACAGGTCAAGGTGCACCAGCTAGAGAAAGCAACGAACCAATCTGCTTATGAGGAGAGGCTGTCATTTGCTGCGCATCGAACTCATCCCAAATAGCACCCGCAGAGTCCGAAGGGCTTGACTTACGGAACGGCGTAATTCCTCCAGATGCAGAGTGCATGTTCGCCTAATGACATTCAGCCACTTTCCGCTGTCCTGATTCGACGGAGATGCCCGCACCGGTGAGGGCAACAATATGGCGTGCTCGTCGAATCATCTTCGCAACCTTGGTCCATTTGGTGGCATGCCCCGAAATGACAGGCTAGGAGAGGTGAAATTAGGTACATTTGCAAAACGATATATCACAGATGGGTTCTTATCGTTTTGTCCAGCCTTGATGTAGCCAGACTTGCCATCGCTGCCGAGCCACACTCTTGGCATCATTTCGCTGGCGGCTTGGAAGCGGGTACTCCAAGCCCAAGGCGAAGTCATCACGCACAGTGCGTTCGAAGTGCTCGATCTTCAGCGTTCGCACGTCATGCCAGGTGATGATAATCAACGGCTTCAATCTCTTTCGTTCACACTCGGACTCTCCAGGCTCGGTGTATGCCCATAGGTGTGTACAAGTGAAGCCATGAAGCTACCAGTAGCATCCTAACAACCCCGAAGTGTCGCAGTGCTTAGCTTCACAACTGTCGCGACTTGGAGCACCGAGCAGCACTGGGTTTGTGGATTTGTTCGTGCTGTGATCATTGCAATGTTCGTCCCTTCCGCCTGTGTCTCGCATGTGTCCAACTTGCTCAAGCCGGACGGATCTCTGACAATGAGCGTCAGGTCCTGTCCGCACAGCTTTCACATGCTGAAACACACAAGTGATCACAGGAGATATCTTGAGCTTGAGACGCAGTTTGTCTGTTCAGTTCCTTCTCGCCCAGGAGTGCCGCATCAAGTGATTCCAGGAAGGCATCAAAGGCGGCATGAGAAGACTCGGGGTACCGCTCCCGTGCCTCCCAGACCTGCCAGACTGCGTCTTGCGCTGTGGATTCCTGGCGCCAATTCCTCAACAACCCGACATAGCCCAACCTCACGGCGAGCGCTGCGAAGGAACTCCGACACCTGACAAGGTATGTCGCGGTTTCCCACACAAAGGAGCCTATCGTGCCACTACGGCCTTGCCATCGAAGCCACGATGGCAGAAAGAGTCCTGTCCCTGGGCTGCCATGCACTCTGAAACGAAGCTCAATGTCCCAGCTGCCGCTGCATCTACATGCCTCTGCTGGTCAACACGTAGATCGACGTAGATGTTAGTCCTATGCCTATGCTTCATATCTGTTCTTATGGCGATGTCTTGCTGCACTTGCCCTGGCCCCAGCCCGCTGCAACAGGACAGACATGCGCACTCTAATGCAGCTTCGGAGATGTGAGGGCATTTCCTTCTTACTTCTTGATAGCCACGGCTCCACTTCCAGTTGAGGCAGCTGCCACTGTGCTGTGTTTGCCAAACAGAGCCGTGCATGAACATCGCCCAGTCGCACCGAGAAGCTGCAGCCTGCCAAGATGGTGCAGAAAGGGCGTTTCGCTGCGTGCTCGCGCTGTCTACAGACCAGGTCAGCAGTGGCAGTGCTTGCCCTGCTTGCGAAACAAACCTTGAAAAGAAGATAGAATGACCGAAGGCCCCGGAGAAGGAGCTGAGGGTAATGCGGGAGGCATCGTTTGAAGTTATGGCCGTGCACCCGGTGCAGCTAACGTGTCCCGAACAGCTTCGAGAAACGCGCCATTTGTCGCCACGACGGCTCGACGGCTCAGTTATCGGCCAAAAACTTTGGGGAAAGCTTGCTCGAATAAAGGCTCAGGTCTCGGAAGATTCATCCCTGCATTCTCTGCTGCGAGTTTCGCAACTACAGCAATTGGCCCATCGAGGTCGGACAGTGCTCTTAGGAAAGGAGCAAGGCATACAGTTATAAGGGCCAGCTACATTGCTCGAGGAGTTCCCCATTGTCACGCTGAGATGGCATGCTCGTTGGTCCGCCACATAAAGCCGTCTACAATGTTTGACCTGTATATCTTGCAGTTGGAAGAAGGAGCTCGCCGAAGTCTCGTGACACTCATGTTCCCGCAGTGCGAGAATATGTGTTCCCTCATGGCAGAAGCAGATAGAATCGCTACCGGGTGTCGAGATAAACCGGGATGAATTTGAGGACTGCAGTGGGAAAAACGGCCGCCCCTCTGCATTCGACAGCAAGTGTGGTCCGGAACATGACTCATTCACTCACTCAGTTACACATTGCTCGCTCACTGACTTAGCTCGCTCACTCACGCACGACTCTGTCAGTGACTTACTTCACGCCGCACCCCTCAACCTCGAGTCAGGCCACTCCACTTCTTCTCCTCACTCACTTCTTGTGGCTTCAGCTTTTGAGACATCTGGCCTCGGGATGGCAGGGACCGAAGATGATCACGCACATCTACAGCCGACATCTCTGAAACGGCTGCAGATCGGACAGGACACTGCATGAACTCTCCACTCGGCTACATACGCTGCACCTTCAAAACCTTTTTCCCCCGACTCCCATGCGGCCAAGGTGAAGCTATCTCCTTTTCGGAGAGCGCCAAGCATCCGTGGCCGGCTGTCGAGTCTCTCAGACTCTCTAGACAGAGAGGACATTCGTCCGCCCAAAACCCTTTGCAGCTGCTGTCGCGAATGCTCTTTGCATCCACAAAGCAAATTACGTCCCACCTCACCATGCAAGGAGAACTGAACAAAAAGGATTATGTGGGTCCGCAGGCCTACGGAAAAAGGCAGACCTGAAAATCGCCCGCGTCAAAAGAGCTGATGCACATGCGGGCATTGTGGGGCTTCGCCCTTCAGCTGGTATTCGCACCAATCCACCGTCTAAATTTCACACCATGATAAGCCGGCGATGTTCGCCGCTAGATTGATCGTTCGAATCATGGTCCGGCTTCTGGTGCTGGCCCTGCTCCTCAACGCGCTGGTTGTTGTTGCCGCCATCGTTGCGAAGCCACTGGCCGTACAGGTGAGCCTGGTCATCCTGGAATCTCCACATGTGCTGCCTGGGTGCAAAGACTGAACTTGCAAGTGCATCAGGCAGCACATAGATCGAGTGTCGGCAGCCGGGACACTGCATGAAGTTGTCGAATTCCCAAGAATGTATCCATTGCACGCTGGACACTTCGTGATCCGGCCCTTTGCCCGGGTTCTGCTCCTTCAGTCTGCACCTCACGTCATCTCGTGTCAGAGTTTCATGGCTTAGGATGTGGAAACATGGCAGTAGCTGAAAGGGAACAGCCGGCCTGAAGATGTGAAAGCCTCCCCGAACAGTTGCAAGGAGTTCTCCTACCTCGACGGAATATCCCGACTCTTCCCAGGTCTCCCTCTCGGCCGTCTTCGTTGCTGGCTCGTGCCCATCAGTTCGACCACCTGGGATGTCAAACTTGTTGCCGTCGTAGGTCAGCTTCACTGCGAGCATGGTGTCGCCCTTCTTCACGAAGCAGCCGGCATGCGCGGGGGCAGCATAGGCATCGGAAAGTCCTCGAGTACTGTTTTCCGGGACACCAGCAACCGCTTGGAGGCTGAGCAACAAAAGCGAACGGCGTAGCCAGGCCATGGCAAATGGGAGTGGACGGGAGCTTCGCAGCAGCTACGGCGCACAACACACGCAGACCTCCACGCCGCGGCGCCTGGAGCCGGTGCCCGAGCATCAGCCACCCAAGTTCTGTCCTATCGCCAGCGGCTAGTGATGCTTCACATCTGCGGAAGCCTTCAAAACCTTTTCACACCGACTCCCATGCGGCCAAGGTGAAGTCATCTCCTTTTCGGAGAGCGCCAAGCATCCGTGACCGGCTGTCGAGTCTCTCAGACTCTCTAGACAGAGAGGACATTCGTCCGCCCAAAACCCTTTGCAGCTGCTGTCGTGAATGCTCTTTGCATCCACAAAGCAAATTACGTCCCACCTCACCATGCAAGGAGAACTGAACAAAAAGGATTATGTGGGTCCGCAGGCCTACAGAAAAAGGCAGACCTGAAAATCGCCCGCGTCAAAAGAGCTGATGCACATGCGGGCATTGTGGGGCTTCGCCCTTCAGCTGGTATTCACACCAATCCACCGTCTAAATTTCACACCATGATAAGCCGGCGATGTTCGCCGCTAGATTGATCGTTCGAATCATGGTCCGGCTTCTGGTGCTGGCCCTGCTCCTCAACGCGCTGGTTGTTGTTGCCGCCATCGTTGCGAAGCCACTGGCCGTACAGGTGAGCCTGGTCATCCTGGAATCTCCACATGTGCTGCCTGGGTGCAAAGACTGAACTTGCAAGTGCATCAGGCAGCACATAAATCGAGTGTCGGCAGCCGGGACACTGCATGAAGTTGTCGAATTCCCAAGAATGTATCCATTGCACGCTGGACACTTCGTGATCCGGCCCTTTGCCCGGGTTCTGCTCCTTCAGTCTGCACCTCACGTCATCTCGTGTCAGAGTTTCATGGCTTAGGATGTGGAAACATGGCAGTAGCTGAAAGGGAACAGCCGGCCTGAAGATGTGAAAGCCTCCCCGAACAGTTGCAAGGAGTTCTCCTACTTCGACGGAATATCCCGACTCTTCCCAGGTCTCCCTCTCGGCCGTCTTCGTTGCTGGCTCGTGCCCATCAGTTCGACCACCTGGGATGTCAAACTTGTTGCCGTCGTAGGTCAGCTTCACTGCGAGCATGGTGTCGCCCTTCTTCACGAAGCAGCCGGCATGCGCAGGGGCAGCAAAGGAATCGGAAAGTCCTCGAGTACTGTTTTCCGGGACACCAGCAACCGCTTGGAGGCTGAGCAACAAAAGCGAACGGCGTAGCCAGGCCATGGCAAATGGGAGTGGACGGGAGCTTCGCAGCAGCTACGGCGCACAACACACGCAGACCTCCACGCCGCGGCGCCTGGAGCCGGTGCCCGAGCATCAGCCACCCAAGTTCTGTCCTATCGCCAGCGGCTAGTGATGCTTCACATCTGCGGAAGCCTTCAAAACCTTTTCACACCGACTCCCATGCGGCCAAGGTGAAGTTATCTCCTTTTCGGAGAGCGCCAAGCATCCGTGGCCGGCTGTCGAGTCTCTCAGACTCTCTAGACAGAGAGGACACTCGTCCGCCCAAAACCCTTTGCAGCTGCTGTCGTGAATGCTCTTTGCATCCACAAAGCAAATTATGTCCCACCTCACCATGCAAGAAGAACTGAACAAAAAGGATTATGTGGGTCCGCAGGCCTACAGAAAAAGGCAGACCTGAAAATCGCCCGCGTCAAAAGAGTTGATGCACATGCGGGCATTGTGGGGCTTCGCCCTTCAGCTGGTATTCGCACCAATCCACCGTCTAAATTTCACACCATGATAAGCCGGCGATGTTCGCCGCTAGATTGATCGTTCGAATCATGGTCCGGCTTCTGGTGCTGGCCCTGCTCCTCAACGCGCTGGTTGTTGTTGCCGCCATCGTTGCGAAGCCACTGGCCGTACAGGTGAGCCTGGTCATCCTGGAATCTCCACATGTGCTGCCTGGGTGCAAAGACTGAACTTGCAAGTGCATCAGGCAGCACATAGATCGAGTGTCGGCAGCCGGGACACTGCATGAAGTTGTCGAATTCCCAAGAATGTATCCATTGCACGCTGGACACTTCGTGATCCGGCCCTTTGCCCGGGTTCTGCTCCTTCAGTCTGCACCTCACGTCATCTCGTGTCAGAGTTTCATGGCTTAGGATGTGGAAACATGGCAGTAGCTGAAAGGGAACAGCCGGCCTGAAGATGTGAAAGCCTCCCCGAACAGTTGCAAGGAGTTCTCCTACTTCGACGGAATATCCCGACTCTTCCCAGGTCTCCCTCTCGGCCGTCTTCGTTGCTGGCTCGTGCCCATCAGTTCGACCACCTGGGATGTCAAACTTGTTGCCGTCGTAGGTCAGCTTCACTGCGAGCATGGTGTCGCCCTTCTTCACGAAGCAGCCGGCATGCGCGGGGGCAGCATAGGCATCGGAAAGTCCTCGAGTACTGTTTTCCGGGACACCAGCAACCGCTTGGAGGCTGAGCAACAAAAGCGAACGGCGTAGCCAGGCCATGGCAAATGGGAGTGGACGGGAGCTTCGCAGCAGCTACGGCGCACAACACACGCAGACCTCCACGCCGCGGCGCCTGGAGCCGGTGCCCGAGCATCAGCCACCCAAGTTCTGTCCTATCGCCAGCGGCTAGTGATGCTTCACATCTGCGGAAGCCTTCAAAACCTTTTCACACCGACTCCCATGCGGCCAAGGTGAAGTTATCTCCTTTTCGGAGAGCGCCAAGCATCCGTGGCCGGCTGTCGAGTCTCTCAGACTCTCTAGACAGAGAGGACATTCGTCCGCCCAAAACCCTTTGCAGCTGCTGTCGTGAATGCTCTTTGCATCCACAAAGCAAATTACGTCCCACCTCACCATGCAAGGAGAACTGAACGAAAAGGATTATGTGGGTCTGCAGGCCTACAGAAAAAGGCAGACCTGAAAATCGCCCGCGTCAAAAGAGCTGATGCACATGCGGGCATTGTGGGGCTTCGCCCTTCAGCTGGTATTCGCACCAATCCACCGTCTAAATTTCACACCATGATAAGCCGGCGATGTTCGCCGCTAGATTGATCGTTCGAATCATGGTCCGGCTTCTGGTGCTGGCCCTGCTCCTCAACGCGCTGGTTGTTGTTGCCGCCATCGTTGCGAAGCCACTGGCCGTACAGGTGAGCCTGGTCATCCTGGAATCTCCACATGTGCTGCCTGGGTGCAAAGACTGATCTTGCAAGTGCATCAGGCAGCACATAAATCGAGTGTCGGCAGCCGGGACACTGCATGAAGTTGTCGAATTCCCAAGAATGTATCCATTGCACGCTGGACACTTCGTGATCCGGCCCTTTGCCCGGGTTCTGCTCCTTCAGTCTGCACCTCACGTCATCTCGTGTCAGAGTTTCATGGCTTAGGATGTGGAAACATGGCAGTAGCTGAAAGGGAACAGCCGGCCTGAAGATGTGAAAGCCTCCCCGAACAGTTGCAAGGAGTTCTCCTACTTCGACGGAATATCCCGACTCTTCCCAGGTCTCCCTCTCGGCCGTCTTCGTTGCTGGCTCGTGCCCATCAGTTCGACCACCTGGGATGTCAAACTTGTTGCCGTCGTAGGTCAGCTTCACTGCGAGCATGGTGTCGCCCTTCTTCACGAAGCAGCCGGCATGCGCAGGGGCAGCATAGGCATCGGAAAGTCCTCGAGTACTGTTTTCCGGGACACCAGCAACCGCTTGGAGGCTGAGCAACAAAAGCGAACGGCGTAGCCAGGCCATGGCAAATGGGAGTGGACGGGAGCTTCGCAGCAGCTACGGCGCACAACACACGCAGACCTCCACGCCGCGGCGCCTGGAGCCGATGTTCAATGCATCAAACGAAAAGCAGACTGTGTCACTTTACGCTTGAGCGATGCAGCATCAGCAACAACTGAGCTTGAACATTTCCGAAGCCGCATTGTGTATCTCAGCTTTCCAGCATACCCAGACCTTGCACAGGCGGTCAGGATGACAGTAGCAAGCCAGTTCCCTAAATGATGCTGTCAGGGCTGCATGTGGAACGGCACGATTCGGGCAAGGATCTTTTGAGGAACGCCTCCAGCTTCTGCGCCGTTTCAGCCGAATATGGCTGAACTGGTCTGTGAGTCTCCTCTGCTATTGAGCACCCAGCTGACACACCCCTCTTTCACTCGAGGGCCAATCAGCACTGTCATGGTTTGGTTGCATGCGGCACGAACTGTAATACTACATCCCGGCTTGCAGTCTGCTGCACAATTGACCACAGGGTTCACAGGCCTCGACTGTTCCACATTCGGACAGCGGCAAGTTGACAGCAACCGGGCAACGGGCCCAACCAAGGAAGCCAAGAGACAGGAGGCAGGAGACGCAGCCACTTCTGCCTCTGTCCAGCCCATGGCAAAAGGAAGTGCCCTATGGCGCGTTGCTTACTGACTCAGCATGTAACGAGGCACTGCACCTGCCGAGACAACACGATGCAGGTAGGTAGTGGAGGATCAAAGATCGTATGCAAATCGCTGTTCACTCGTGATCTTTCGTTTTGTTGTCTGATCCTGGGGTAAGTCTGCTGATCCTTGATGACTTTTGTTTGACCCCTTTCCCTCTCTCGACGCAGCTGTTGCAATGCTGTACTTGCAGCCAGCACTCCGATTTAGGTTGAACCACTTCTGCTGAAAGGCCAACCTGAGTGCATCAAGACACATCTCTGCTGCCTCTTACCAAGACCTACGGGAAGAGGTCAGCAAACATTGTCAACAGAAAAGGGGAGGGCTCCTGCCATTGCACTGCCTCCCAATGCTGCTAGCAACCTTCATTCCAATAAGGTCCAAGCAACTCGGCCTCCACCTGTTTGACTGCTTCAGCACCACCTGTCAGAAGAGAAAGTGGTCGCTTGCGCGGCGCTGATGTTCTGGCCTGCAGGAAAAGGACGTGTCGGACCAGCTCTGATGCTGTGATGCCCAGTGTGCTAAGGCGGAACGCGGCTGGAAACCAGACCAGGCTTAGGCTTGAGTCGGCTTCAGGCTGCAGCGCCTGTCAACTAGGACCTACTTGGCCCCGATGCTTCCACCTGGCGCTGCAGAGCATTCGCGAGGAGCCGCCTCCCAAATTGAATACTTGGGATCACGGCTAGCACGGATCTGGAATCGACTGGAACTGGCAGGCCTCCGCTTCTCCTCCGGAGGAGGCTGCGGGCCTGGCTGGGCGGGCTGCCTGGCGCGAAAGGCGCAACTTGCGCAATGCTATTTCAGCTTGTATCAAGTTCCGCTGGGCCACGCAGTGGATTTTGTGGCAGGTACGGACGGCGTGGATGGTGCAGCCGGGGTCGATGGTGCAGCCGGCGTGGAAGGAGGCTTCGCGACTGGTCTGCCTCGAAACTCGGGTGCACAAAGGTAGTAGCATCCAGCCGCTGGGTCAAAGCCAAATCTGCAGCGGCCACAGCCGCCTCCCTCAAATGCCCAAGCAATCGCTGGCGAAGTCAAACATGGTACAGTATCTTCTCGGGTCGCTGTTCTTCCTGGCTTCGAGGAGAGTCGTGTAGGGCATTTCACACATGGCAAATAGTCCTAGCCTAGGTTTGAAGGCATTCCACTACCAAGGAGCTCTGTGCTGGCTTTGACAGCGGTGCCACCGGTGCAGCTGGTGTGGCTGGCGCGACCTTGCCTCAGCAGTGTTCTGAACCAAGCGGCGTCATGGGTCGAAACACCAACGTTGAACATGTTGAAGACATCGAACTGTTGCCCAGCACCCAACTGAGGACCCAAAATCCAGAGAGTGGTCAATCGATGAATGGAGCACACATAGAAACATGAGATCGTTCAAGATCTGCACAGGTCTCCGTGAAGTAAGATCTGTTGAAGACCATACAGAGAACGGCTTCGCAAGTTCAGCACCTGTCGATCTTGGTTAATCAATACTGCAACCAGCCACGGTCTGGTCCAAGACTCAGGCCCCTCCGCCATCGAACCGCCTCAAAGGCACGTTTCGGCGGCACCGTAGGCACTGCAGCTGCGGCCGCCGCCGCCGCCGAGGCAGCTTGGGCCAGGGCTTTCGCAGGGCCGGCGCCTTCGACGAATTGAGCTCGTCTCTCCGTCGTCTATCAGACCCTTCTTCTCTCCGTCTCTGCCTCTCTCCTCTCGATCCCCCTTTCTCCTCTTCTCCATCTCCCCTCGCCTTCACCCAGCGCCGTCTCTCTGCGTCGCTCTCCTTGCTCTTTGCCTGTTTTGCCTCTGACTATGTAGTTCTAGACGGGATGTGCTTGTGTCGCCCTAGGAGGCTTTGAGCTTTCTGGCGCAGGCGAAACGACACGAGGGCCAACACCACTACAGCTTCGCCACCCTTGCAGCTCTTGTTTTTGTTGGGACGCTCGCTGTTTTGTGAAACTTCGGAGCCGCGACCACCAAGCATGGTTGCATCCCATGGCACTCCGAACTACCCTGAAGAAATCGCGCAGGCTCCCCAAGCAGAGACTGTAAGGATGAGCGGGTAGGCTCTGGCAGGCTAACGCGTGAGTGAACTCCACAAGTGCCTGCAGCCTGGGCCACTGTCGAAGGGTCCTTCCTCAGCGCAGCCAAAACCGAATGAATATCAAACCGCTCCGGCCCGCTTCATTCAAGACGCACACGACATGAAGCCAAGCAGCTTCTCTGTTCTCGGCGCTGCCTTGGCAGGTGGACGGCTGGACAGTGCAGCCAATAAAGAGAGCGACTTTCGAAGAAAAACCGACTTCGTCTGGCCACAAACGTCCGAGGCTAGCTTCAGGTTCCAAAACTGCAAACTGCTGGTAAGCTCTTGGCAGGCATCTCGCCACCTGAACAAAAAACACTGGAGCTGCTGTGCTCGTTTGTGGCACTGTTTGCCATGAATCCTTTGGGGGTTAGTTTCGTCGGGGAGTGGTGGAGCCGCAATTTAAACTTCGCCGTTGTGGTGACAGCACTTGTCGGCGTCACGGAAAGCTGTAGTGTTCTGCCTCTTGCATGGCTGATTGATCACGAAGCAAGGTTACTGAAGACTCACTGGTGAATTCAAACTTGGCGAAGATGCTGTACGAGCCAGTTGAGCATGCAACCTCGAGCTCTGTCTGCACGAGCAACTCCAACACGTCTTCACCGCAGCAAAATGCCGGCTCAAATGACTCCAATTCAATTTACAAGTCCACCACACATTCCGAATTATGGGCACTATGTCAGCATTTCAGGCATGAAGTTGGAGGAGGAGTAGTAGTTTTAGTAGTAGTTGTGGTAGTAGCCGTCGTTGTCGTAGTAGTAGTAGTAGTAGTAGTAGTAGTAGTAGTAGTAGTAGTAGTAATACATCAGTATGCCGGGAATTCGTGAAACTGATCGGCTCTAAATTCCCGGCACACTGGAGCAGCAGCAGTAGCAGTAGTAGTAGCAGTGGCAGTGGCAGTGGCAGTGGCAGTAGCCAGCAGCAGTTGGAGTGGCAGTGGTAGTGGTAAATTGCACAGAGTCCATAGTCGATGTAAACTCAAGGCGTCATTGACGCTTCTTGCAAAAATCTTTGCATGTGTCGGCAGTACAGACACGATGATGGCATCCGTCGGTCCGGCACACCATACAATCGCAAAGCAGGACGTGTGGATGCTGCAGGCCACACATAGCAATATCGAAGTAGCTTGTCACCCTGCGCTTGTGGGACGGAATACGACGGTCATGACTGTGATAAGAAGGCCTTCTGCGAGGGTTGATCGTAGAGTAGAGTGCTATGCATGAAATAGCGTCTTCGCTTTCCGAGTTGAAGTAGCGAGCCGCGGTCGATGCGCGATGCTTCATTGGCATGATTCGGAATTTTGAAATGATGCTCCACCAGCTTGACAAACACATGCACCTGTTCCTACAGTCATGGAGTCGACATGTTTGTGAGAGCTTGTGTCATAAGTCATGGATGCTTCTGTGGAACCCGGCCTGTTGGTGAAATCGGCTCAGGAGAACTCACAGCACCTGCACTTCCAGCGGTAACCAGCCCCTGTCCTTAAACACACTTAAACCAAACTAGTACCTGACACATGCATGTTTACCGCCAGCAAAAGGCTCATAGGAGGTGTCGGAACGGACCAAGCGACAGCTGAGGAAAGCACCAGGCAGAGCTCCGGCTGGCTTGGGGCCTGGTGCAGGGGCTGCACCTGGAGCCGCACCTTGCTTGGAACTCTCTCCAACATCACGCAACTCTGGAGCCATCCTAGGTTTGCATGGCTTCTTAGGGTACTTAGCAGCGGCTCGGACATCTGCTTCCAGTTTCTGAGGGCCACTTGCTGTACCGAGCGGGACAGTGGTAGGTTGTAAAAGTCAGCAGCCGCATTCGGACGGTGCGAGGTGAGGCGTTTGCTCGGTTGTGAGATTCCGCTCGGGAAGTGCTTTGGCATGAACGATCTCGCCTGTGGTTTGTGCGAACCGCTGCCCGCGAAGCTGCTTCTTGCGCTCCTGCACAGCCGGGCCCTCCGTCTTCCCTTACGAGTACCACCATCTCAAGATGTTTCCAAAAGTCTGGGGCAATTGAGGCTTGGGTCCACATCAAGGACCTTGGAAAACCCTCGGCACAGCGGCTCAAACCATGTGCATGGCTTTCTCAGGGTCGTTGCTCCTCCTCATTCAGAGCCGCGTCTGCGGAACTAGAAGCAGCCTGGCAAGAGCGAACATGCGCTGGCTTCTGCAGATACGAACATACCACCACAGCACGGAAATGCTCAAAATTCGAATATCGGAGGAGGATCTCAATCTCATTCCAATCACGACAACGAACCCATGATGAAAGTACTGCAACAGAGTTTCACAGAGTGGACCAGGTATTGATACCAAGTACTATCTACATCTTCACCAGTTCCGCAGCTTTGAAGTAGCGCCATCATAATATGCATCGCCACTGCTCAGCAACATCAAATCCTTCCATCATGATCTTCATTTTTATCGCCATCAGCAACATCACCAGCATCGTCGTCATCGTCTCCCTCGATGCGAAGCACTAGGACTTCATCGTGATGTATCCTGATGCCAGTGGTCGAAGCACCAGTCCAAAGAGTAAGTAGTATGCTGCAGCATTTCACCTAGCCCTCTCTCCCGCGCGAGCCTCCACCTCCACAACACCTCAGAAAGAAAGAGTAGTGATACAGCCGAAGTGCTCCGGAGCAGTGCCTTCAGAACGTACCTGGAGGCCCGACCCTGAAGCAGGTGCTGGCCAATAGCCATCGAATCATAGATTCTGCATGATTCTGCAGCCCGGCGGCGTGTCTTGGCGTCGGTGGCAGCACCTGAGTAGATGACAAACACAAACATCAAACACGCTCATATTGCTCGCTGTCCTCCTTGCGGTTGCCAGTTTTGCTGTGCGAGAAGTAAAGCTGTGGATGTTCGCCGCTTCCACCAAGGAGCCCAGGGCGGCTGCTCCACGCGCTCCTGCTCCAGCTGATGCGAAGCGGGCTTTCTCTGCCTTGGAGGAGATTCCCTTTCTGTGACTCCGAGATGCATGGGACGGGGGCCAAAAAGCACTGCCTCAGGTTTTTGGGAGTGTGCTCACAGTTCCAATGTTTGGTACAGTAGGCACTCGTCGTCCGCTTGCGAAAAGGACCCTCTTTGACCGTTTGAAGACAGAGAACTCAAGACGCACATGGGCCGCAGCAGATTTCGCGCCTGTGACTTCGACGACATACAGGATTTCGCTACAATCGCCGGCGTAAGCCGAAATGAGAAAGAAATCCCAAAGCCACCAAGACGAATAGTCAACGTCAAAGCTATCGCTGCTGGCGCATTGGTTTCTTCGTGTTGCTTTTCGTTGGGCGGTCAGCCTTGGGGCGAACAGCTGATCATTCAATTATCCGAGTCCAGCGAGACACCACAGGCTGGAGCGAGGCGTGAATGGTGCTCATCACAACAAGCAGAACAGGCACACTACAAGCACTACACGCGCGACTCATGACTGCAAATGACTGCAGTATCGCGGGACTTGAGGACGTGCCTGCGCAGCCGCACGAGGCTCGCCAGATGAGAGGTCTACCTCAACACTCAACACCCAAAACTCAAAGTTCACACCAAATGACACTTCCATCAGGCTCCAGGAAGAGATGCGTTAAGAAAGTTCTCGGCCTGAAGTTACATCATGGCCGACACTGTATCAATCATGTGGCTGGGGTATGGAACAAGCGAAAAGGTTGTCCAGAGAACGAACCGGAATGACCGCCGCTGGGCCCAAGAAGAACAGAATGCTGGATGTTCTGTCACCGAAAAGCAATCCCACCCAAGTCACCGTTGCCACAGTCGTGCCGTGTCTTGTGGCAGGGTCATGGGCCCCCCTCACCTGCAACATGCAAACAAAGCAACTGAGCATGCGGCGTGCTATGAATCTTCATGCACACGTAGACGAAATAACTGCCTGTTTGGCATTACCTCGTCCTGAGGCATGAAATCGTGTTGATGGCGTGTTCGTGTTCTAGTTCGGTGCCGCGGCAGCCACCGTGGCATGCTTACATGTTTGGATCCATTGCCGATCACCGGACAAGAGCCCTGCTTACGACCGAAATGCAGTTCCAGTTTGGAGCGCCGAGTTCCATTGGTCACGAATCCCCTTGCATCACAAGGCTTGTGACAAATCCCAACCCCAAGCCCGAACCACGAGTGCTCTCGTCTGGTGATGTCGGACAGGTCGCCAGGCCAGGATCCACCAGTCTTGCAGTCAGACAGGGCGAATCCGTATCCTGCTGTATCCTGCCCGTCCACCTGAACCTAACATGCAAATTCTCGCCTGGTTCTTCTGCTGCTCCTGCTTCTTTCGCCTCGTGCTGTGCGATTTTGACATGCTCGACATGCCGCATCGCAGCCTGGCCTGCTCCATCTGCATGCATGAACACGATACTGAACTACTAGTACCAAAAGGTCCCAGGGCATCGGGTTGGGGAGCTATCTGACTTTACATCGACTCAAGGGAAAACTAGAGTGCCAACCCTTGCCAAGTATCAGAAGCCGGTCCCGAAGAACTTTGGCTTTGTCTTCGGGTTCCTTGCTTCTTGTGCAGCGCCACGCTATTCCGGATGCGGCGCCAGAACTCCACACAACGACTTGGTGCTGCAAGCGGCCTGGCCTGTTCCCTCGCTTGGGAATCCTGAGCCGGATCCTCGCCTGCATCCGGTCTCGCGACACTGGCGCTGAAGATGAGACGTTACCGCAAGCAGTCGTCACTAAACGAGACAATGAACAGCCTCGCTGCTTGTGGAGATACTGGGCTTTCAAGGACTCCTCACGCAGAAGCGACGAGAAGCTGACTGCTAAGAAGACTGCAAGAAGTATGACTATGAGGGAACTGCTCTCAAGGGTAGTCAAGGCTCGGTCTTTGTGCTGCCATCGGGCTTCCCCTCCTGCAAGGAACACGGCTCCGCTTCCACTGGAGCAACTAATTCGGTTGCATGCAGAGGGGTGGCCCGAAACAAGAAGGAAAAGTGCCGAAGAGATATCTGCAGGCTGCCGGTCTTCATGCCGAGGCACTTGCTGGCGGAAGCTTGCCTTGCCTTTGCCTTTGCCTTCGGCACCAGTTCAAGTCAAGGACAAACTACCCTTTTCTTTCCCTCCTACCTAGCAAGGAAAAGGCTAAGGCTCTTGACTTCTCTGCTTCTCAACAGCTCGACCGCGTCCGCCTGGGCTGCCCTTGCCGGCACCGCGGCCGCCTTTGCTGCCCTTTCCGACCGGCTTCCCGCCCATGGCACTGGAAATGGACAAGTGAACGCTCGCTTCGGGCAAGATTTGGGTTGTTCTTGGTCTTGCTTGGATGCACAAAATTCGGCACATTCCTAGGACTTATATCCGAGGACAAGGACTGTGTGGGATCTTGCACATTTTGGAACATGAACCTGTGTCACAACCCGACTCTGCATATGCCGTCATGAAACCAGATGACGCATGTTTGCATGCAACGACAACGTGCTGCTTCGGTGTGTCACTTGCCTCGGGTCGGGTCGAAGCCAAGATAATTCGATTCACCGGTCATTGTCTCACCGGAGCTTCCCCCACAGGGCCGATAGGCGACCGCCCTCTGATCACCGCAGGTTTTCGGCCCGGCCGAGCCGAGCCGAGACAGAACGCTGCGATCTTTGTGCGCTAATTCGCAGAGCTCGGAAGATGACCATCGAGGGCTCAGTGCTCGTCAGGTGGATTGGGCGATATATACAGTGAGTGGGACGAGTCGTCGGAATCCCAATCGGAGTCCGAATCCGAAAAATCGAGGAAAGGATTTACTCGATTAGCTTTCTCGTAAACTTCAAAACTCAAGGGTTCCGCCGCGTCTTCGTCACCCCAAAGAATGATCTTGAGGTCGTGGCCTGGCACATCTGTTGCTGCAGCACATGCCGACTGGCGCAGCAAGAAGTTGCACGACGACTGTCACCAGCCTGCGCTCTTGCTCTGATTGAAGAAATGCGGCACCTCGCACTTCGAGATGTGACCAACCATGTTTTCATAGGCCCTGAAGTCGGATGATACAAGGGTCTGCGCAGGATTCGCACAAAAAGCGAAAGTGCTTCTGAATTGCACTCCTGGGCACCCATAGATTGATCGGAGGACGAGCTGGGACCTGCAACCTCCCAGTCCTGGTAGGCGTTGGATGGACCTTGGTTCTGAGTCGCACACACAACTGATGGCACAGGCCGTCAATTCAGGCTATCCCAATACTATCCATGAGCTCTCAAAGAAACCACTCCTTGACCCGGTAAACTCCAGAGACATGGAGCAACTCTGCATCTTTGTAGACCGCTCCGGTTTTGTGGACCTCGCAGAAGCACAGCCGCCCATCCCTTAACCAGCCCCGTGAACAGGCAAAACCGAGCAGAGCAAGGTGAACCAACGGTTAGACAAAGGAGCCTTGTCGACTACGACTTCGTGAGCAAAGAGAGTTAGGGCTTCAGTCTTGATCGTCTCCTGCAAGGAGCTTCAAAATGCAGAGAGACGGTCAGAACTGAGCGCAACTGTAGCGAGGGCAAGCCGCACGGCACACACATCTTGCTGTACCTACGAGCAGATGGCGTGGATTCCATGTGGTCTGCAATGGCAAGGCATATGACCGCTAAGAGTTCAAGCACCAATGAAGGGTGGGGGATGGCAGCTTGCGTCCTCTGGGACTCCTGGAGACGTGGGATTGCAGGTCACGTAGGAGGATGCCTGCCGCGTCAGCTTTCGCTGCTTTTGCACTAAGCTTTGCTCTTCTCTCTACCATGCACACTGTGCAACGGAGGATGCATGGCGTGGCCTCCAGCTTGCCGCACTGGTCGTAGCACATGCAGTCGCCTTTGTCTTGTCGGCTTCTGTTCCCGGGTGACCGAGCCATTGACACGTGAAGGTTCCTTGATCACCTATCGAAGCACTATATTGTCGTTACATGTAACCACATCAACACAGGAGGAATCAGCGAAGATCAGCGAAGCTGCAGGTATGCTCCCCGAGTAGTGACGAGAACTTGTCCAGATTCGGCCTGTAGCAAAATGACATACCGTTAAACTTGGTCCTTAACATGCACCTTTTGCAATGAAATCGGACAGTTGGACACAAGGACCACCCGCAGAATAGTTCGTTTTGCGCCTTTCAAAAGGATCGAGGTCGACCGGCTTAATGTGTAGCACCATCCACTTTCTCCACATCCTCAACACCAGCGCAGCATGTCATTTGCCACATCTGCAGTTTAGCTTAACGCATGTGGAACGAGCGATTTCGTGCGAACTTCAAGTCCTGAATCGAACCCCAGACCCCAGGCCCCTTCACTCCGTTGCTGACGCGGGGCTTTCGCACCAGCGCCTCCTTGTCCGCTAGCGCGAATATGATAGAGACCTTACTGAGGCTCCGGCAGCTTGCTGAACCCTTCCAATGTTGAGCAAACAATCTCATCTGGAAAACTGTCAATCAGGCATCCAGTCGAGTGGAGCAAATTTTGAGGGTCAGAGAAGTAAAGGCAGCGGGCCGGATCGAGGTCATCCGTCCTTCGCTCCCTTTGCGAGGTGCCGTCATCTGCTGTGGCGCGGCACGAGATACGAGTCACTACACCAGCTACGGTAACAACGGAAATCAAATGCAGCAGTGGGACCTCATCCATGACACCTAGGCGTTTCAAGTGTTCCTCTTTCCTCGGATGTGCGAAAAAAGCATAGTTGACCAAGCTTGCGGTGGCCTCTTTGAGCCAAGGTTCAAACCTCCCATTGCACCTGGTGAGCACAGCTTGGTGTCCCAGATGCTTCGCAGGTTTCGGGTGACCTGGGCCAGCGTCCGCCTCAGAACCCGGTGCCATGAAAAAAGCTCTGTCAAGGACAGCATTTTCTACTCCCGTCGTCAGGTCGTCAGCAAACTACCCCACAAATCGTGCATGCGCCGAGCTGCACCAACTCCTCATGCATGTGCCAGCGACAATTCTCGCCATGCAACAACAGGGAACCTTCCAAACCGGAGCATAGGTCAGAACGCTGCAAGCAGCCAAGCCGCTCATGTTCCGCCTTGGACTTAGACTCACACTCTGCCGCAGATTTGACAAGTTCCGCTCGCACGAAAGAAGAAAATGGGTCCTTAGGCAACCATTGTGCCGCCGTGCTGCGGACGATGCTTGCGGCAGTGCCTGGCTGACACCTTGCCTCGCGAACGCAGTGAAGGCCACCATCCTTGATGCTGCAGAACCGACTCTTGAGCATGTCGCGTGTGCAGAAACTGAAATCGATAGTACTCTTTGCGACAGCCCAAACGAGAAGTCTTCAACCCACGCCTCTTGGTTAAGGAAACAATCCATATCCGAATACCGACCCTCTTACGCTGCTTGCTGCCAAGCGGCTCCCAGTAGTGTCGCGTAGCAAACCAGTCCACCTGCCAGATGTGACAACTGGAAGGCTCAGCTCAGGACCGGACTGGCAGCGAAGGGCCGGCGGCCTTGTCCCCGCGTCCACTGAGGCTCTCGGCAATCTGAGGCCAAGACTTGAGAAGGCCCACCTGCAGAGAGGGACAGGAACTCATGCGACGCTGCAATCAAAGGCTCAGACGGTACTAAGATTTGAAGGAAACCTCTGAGGCAAGTCAAGCAACATTTCCCAGCCTTGTTGGTGAAGTTAGCAGCTTTCCACAGCAGCTTCCTCGGCGTAGTGCACCGAGCATAACTAGATGGAGGCCAATCCGAATGATTGGTGGACTCCAGCATTGCAGCCAGAGTAACCACTGAAACGCATCATCTTTAGGCGCCAGTCCAGAGTGAAGAGAGTTCACCATATCTGTCCAAAACTTCTCCAACCTGCACCGGACCGCAAAGCGCGGACCAACAAGTGCATAGCACATGACAGGATGGCAGTTTGAAGGTTTGGTGTGGATTTAAAACTAGACAGACGGCCAGGCGGCAAGTAATCCTTCGCGAAAGTGCTTTCATGTGAGAAACTTGCGAAGAGTTCAAACTCTAAGGGGGTTCAAGGGCAAAGCAAATCGGAGATGAGCAGGTAAGTACAGCGAAGGACTCAAAGAGAAGGACTGGTGGTCAGATTGCGTGGTTCTGGACACAACCCGACATTCAGGCAAACCAAGTCGGAAAACCGCCGGAGTGGGAGTTGAAAAAGGCCTCACGATCCTGATGACTTGGAGCCAGCCACAACGGAACCAGCGTGTGCTTGAAGCACCAAGAGTTCCAGATTTGCGCAAGTCGATACATAGGTGGGTGCCCCAAACGCAAACAAATCCCCAAATCCTTGAGACAGCCCGCCGCTGTCTTTCAGGCAGCTTCTGGAAGGTGGTGTCGTATTCTGCTAAGCTCAGCTGGTCCTGCCGAGATGGCGCAAAGGCTGCCAAAGCCCACAGCTGCGGTAAATGGATGCTGCCACTGGAAACCCTAGTTCGGCGCACGTGTAACATGGAAAGTCGCAGCTGCTCCTAAGCCTTAAGCCTTAAATACTTTTCTCACAGTTGCATCGGAGGCACAACAGAAGTCGGAGTGATGTTTTGAAGTGGGGCAAGCTTCGCCTTGCGCAGGACGGTCTTGCATGGACTGCACGTTATGCCAAAGCCAAATTTCAGCCTCAGCCCCTCATTTCTGGAAATGACATTATTACCGAACATTTGCGAAACAAGTGGGTTCCAAACTGTGAGGCCCAATGGTCCCGGCAACGAATCGGTGACTGAGAAATCGTTTCAAAAATGCGGGCAAATTGGGTCCAAAAATGTGCCCCGGGATGAATTACACATCAAAAATGGCTCCGACATGGATCAGGCCCGTTTGCTGATTCATGGTTGGATCCATTTTCGGACCCATTTTTGGAACCGGAACCCATCTTCGCACCTGGAACCCGTTCTTCAGAAGCATTTTCGCATGTTTGAAATGTTTGAACTCATTTCTTTCCGAAGTTTTAAAGGGCTTCACAACTCAAACCCAGCGCTGCTCACGGATGCTTGTCAATAGGGTCGCGCCTCCACTCGCGACCTCGCGTTCTCAAACTCCGGCAAAGCGAAATATCCTGCCGGGCCACTGCTCACGAATGCACACAAGACCGAAATCACGGAGCCACTACATCAAATGTCACGTGCAGCCGTACGCAGAAACTCTCCCAACCCTTTTAAGCGCTGAAACCACAACGTCGCAAGCAGCAACAACACCGGGGTGCCTTTGCCAGCATCATCCGATTCTTCCAGGCAGCGCAGGCTGGAAGCGCAGAAAGCCACCACGAAAGGCAGGACACTGGGACAAGGCGTGGTAGCCTCAACACGGTCGGCAGGTGGCAGAGGCTTGGACTCGCGCTGGTGCTACATTTTTAAGTTTTGAGCCTGTAGTTTGTTCCTGTTCTTAAGTGGTGATCCAGAGCAGCCCAAGACCCCGCGTGTTCCACGTGAAACACCCGAGTGAGACTTCGAGACTTTGCTCCGCACTGAGAAGGAGGAGGCGACTCAGGAACCAACCTACAGTAAATTCCCAAACTCAAAGAACTCCTATAACACGCGTGGGATTAGAATTGAAGACTGAGCTGCAAATCACTGGCAAGATGCAGATGGTAGCAGCTGCATCGTGGCACCGTGTGCCTTCAGCGCAGCCACCCAGATCTTGTCGGAGAACACAGGAAGCTTCCCCTTCTCTACGTCCTCATGCAGAACTTTAAGCATGGTTGTACTGATCAGGTGTAGCAGCAGCAGCAGAAGCCGTCGTCGTCGTCGTCGTCGCAGCCGTCATCGTGTGGTCGTCGATGTTGACGTGGACCACGGCTACAAGTATCAGCACTACCAGGCTGGTACTACCAGGACTGCTACCACTGCCAATTTCGATCCTGCACCGCTCAGCTCTTATGCCTTTCGCCTCGCCCGTTATTATCACCGAGACGGCGAGACAGACAGAGAGAGAGAGAGAGACGGACGGACGGACGGACGGACGGACGGACGGACGGAGAGAGAGAGAGAGAGAGAGAGAGAGAGGGAGGGAGACGGAGCGAGAGACAGAGAGACAGAGAGACAGAGAGACAGAGAGAGAGAGAGAGAGGGAGACAGAGCGAGAGACAGAGAGACAGAGAGAGAGAGAGAGGGAGAGACAGAGCGAGAGACAGAGAGACAGAGAGAGAGAGAGAGAGACAGAGAGACAGAGAGACAGAGAGACAGAGAGACAGAGAGACAGAGACAGAGAGAGACAGAGACAGAGAGAGACAACCCGCTCCCACCGCATCTCCTCCGTGTCCACGCGGTTTCCTTCGCATGGAAGAAGCTTCCCTACGACACGACATCTCAACAGCAGATCCGCTGGAAAGTGTCCTGCAAAGGAGCACTGGAGCTCTGCAAATCGCTGCATCTCGCTGCTCGTGCGATTTTCCAGGATTTGCTTCACGTCCTCACGGCAGTCAGCTGTCCCCCGGCACAGCGAGGCAGGAAAAGTGGGTATCAGGCGTGATGCCTGCAGGTCCACACGGGCTCAAAAACACACGGGCTCAAAAGCATCGCCTTTTTTTCTCTGGCACCTGCCTGTCGAAAGTCACTGGCACATGACCCGCAGAGCAAACAGGCCGCAGACAGTTCAGCCATCTCTCTCCACACTCAAGACCCCATCGATGTTCTGCAGCATCGCTTGCGCATCTTCCCCGCTTAGCGAGGAAGTGTCCAGCTGCACACAGAGAATCTCGCCGTCAAACATGGGCGTAACGCTGGACACCTCTGCTTTGGACTGGATCGTCTCTGTCGCCACGTCTTTTTTGACCGCATCGATGGTCAGGAGGAATTTGGACCCACCAGCCGATGCTGGATGAGGGGCAGCAGCACAAGCAAATGTGACGGGCAGGTCGCATGCCTTCAAGCGGACTATGTGGTGTGGCTGCGTCAACGCTTCTGTGCAGATTGCGCCGGGCGGAGGCGAAGTGGTTTCGTAGGCGACGCTCAAGCTGGTGCTCGATGCTTCGATCCGCTTGATTTCCACAGCATGGCCACCACTTCCACATTCACCAGAAAAGACGCAGATGATCATGTCTGTGTCAAACGGGACGTCTGGCAATGCTGGCGGCGGGGATTCGTTGGAAGTGTGTTTCTCCCAGAAACTTGACCATTCCTCCTTGGAGGTCATCGCCGCCTCCAATGCATGGGAGATACCCGAGTAGCTTCCCTGAGCAACGGTGTCAAAGTTCTCGACCATTGCGGATTCTATCGGATTCTGCTGTGGTCCAAGAACCACAACACTGCGTTAAGGAGCTGTGAGCAGCAACAGTCTCGAAGTGACAAATGCAATTGATCCTACACTGCAGAAGATCTCATTCCTGTGGCAATCGGTCCTCGGACTCCAGATCAGCCAGCCCCTTCTCGAGGCAGCTCGTCTTTGATGAACACTTCAAGGCATTCATCAGCTCATCCTAATCAAGTCAGGCATTCGTCGCTCTCATCGGGGCTCGCCCCAGCACTCTGCAATAAGTACTTTGGAACGCACCGTTTCCATCCCAGTTGGGTCTCGGATTAAAGTAACTTGATCAGGATCCAGTAAAACATCAACAGGAATAAAACGCTTTTTTGGAGCAGATGCGGCATGTCTGGTTCAAAGGATGCTCGCGGCACGCGTCTGCGCGGTGCATAGTTTTCTGTGACGTCCAACCCTTCGCAAACGATCCTCCTGCCCGGGGCCAGGACTCGTTGCAAATCACGACATCGTCCACTCTTTGCTCTCGACCCCCTTTTTTGAAGCTGTACTAGAGGGAAGCGACTCCGAGTCTCGCAAGCTAAGGGGGGAAGCATAAGTCGCCTGCACCCGAAATGCGCCGGTACTTGGGGGAAGGCATTCGAGGCGTGGTTTTTGGTGGTTCCTGGTGCTCCGCTTTCGTCTCCTGCTGGTCTCTTAGTTGTGTCTTATTGGGGCCCCTGACCCTGGTCCACGTCGTCGGTTTTCGTGGGTGGTAACGTGGCAGAGAAGCACGGATAGCAACTAGTTGCGGCGCGTGTTTTCCCACTCAATGGAGGCCGGGCCGGTCCGCATGTGACAGTGGTCGTTGGATCTTCCCTGGCATAACAGCAGTAAAACAAAGTAATAATGCTGCGAGTGATCAATGATCATAGTGGTAACATCTCTAGATAAAACTGATAGTTGCAACAACAGCAATAATAATGCAATGCATCGTGGTACTTCTACAACTCATAGCTATGCGTAAGAAGGGTAACACTGGCTAGAACAGGACAGTGGAGCGTAAGCTTGTTCTTGATCCCGCTTGAATATCTTTTTGATCCTGACTGGTTTTGATCCCGTTTGAACATGTTTTGGATCCGCATTCCCTCAAGTTTTGCTCAAGGTTCGGCCCCATCGATCTATCCAAGGTGCATACTTGTAGCCCAAGTCGATGGATCCCGGAGTGCCCTCGGCATTGTGCATCAATGGCCACCACTGCTGGGACAAAGCTCCTGTGAAAGTGAGTGAGGAGTCTCGCGACAGATCACGAAACGATGCTGGACTGCCGGCTAGTGCAGATCATGCTACTGCCAGCATTTCATGCAAGGCATATAGAGAAAAGCTACAAGACGTTCAAACCATCCTTGCATGAGCCGCTGGAACGTTCTGGCTGTACAGGCCACAAGTGGCTGCTCGTGCGTGCAGGCATCCAAGAACCTGAGATCATCAGAGATTGTCGAGATTTTGCTGTGGTGTTGCCATGGCTGCTTCTGCGACGAACCCTACTATTCATGCCTCCAACACATTACAACCAAAACGACACTGCTTCTGCCACCGCTGTGACCACCACCACCATCTCGTACGACTGCGGAAAACGACGGCCACTACTACAAATGGTGTCAACCACTTGTGCTGCTGCTGCTACTACTACTTCTACTACTACGACTACTACCACTACAACCTACTACCTACTGCCTGCTGCCTGCTGCCTGCTACCTGCTACCTACTACCGACTTCTTGCTCTGCTGCTGCTGCTGCTGCTACTACTACTACTACTACTACTGCTACTGCTACTTCTTCAACTGCCACGGTTATGCCGACTACTGCTACTGATGCTCTTGGTGTCAAATGCGTACCACCTCAGAAATTCGTTTGATGAGCCAAGGGAAAAGTTCGCTAATGCCTCTTGTCCTCCGTACACCAAATATCATTGAGTAACTTTGCGCACTATGACTATGCGTCACTATGAACTGTAAACCCACTGTGTCTACCAAACGAAAATCTTTTCGACCATCGGCGGCCGTCGCGCATCTCTGATGGCCTCCGTGCAGCGCTCCACATGAAGGTCTTCGGCCTTGCCTCCTGCGAACTCAGTCTTCGCAATCAGCAGGGCTCTACTCATCTTAAGGTGGATCAAAGCATCAGTGGGCAAAGCCGTGGAGAGAATCTCAGAATATCCGAAGAAGATTGGGGGCTGGCACTGAGCAGATTCCTCTGGGAATTGCCACAATGGAGATCTCGGGCACCAATGCGTGTAGAGCACCGATGAAATTGCCCACAACTGCCTTGACTTGCAGAGCAAAAACGAGACTTCTGCAGCTGACCTTGAGGCTCTCAAAGCCAAGTGCCGCTGGAGTGCAAGCAAAACTGCATTCCTTGATTGGCAGTGACGCAGCTTCTATAGCCGCAACTGGCGAAGTTCTCAAGGTTTCGCGCATTGACTAGTACAGCCAGAGGCACACGATGTCCGGGAAACTGATGTACAGACTCAGTTCGAGGACTTTGGATTCCAAAGATGCTCGCCTCATGCGATCGTAGAGTCGTAGAGAGAGAGAGAGAGAGAGAGAGAGAGAGAGAGACAGAGAGAGACAGAGAGAGACAGAGAAGAGACAGAGAGAGACAGAGAGAGACAGAGAGAGACCAGAGAGACAAGAGAACAGAGAGACAGAGAGACAGAGAGACAGAGAGACAGAGAGACAGACAGAACAGAAGAGACCAGAGAAGAGAGAGAGAGACCAGACAGACAGAGAACAGGAGACAGAGACAGACAGACAGACAGACAGAAGAACAGAGACGACTACAGACAGACAGACAGACAGACCGACAGACCAGACCAGACCCTCCCGCAGACCGCCCCGCCCAGACAGCCCCCGCCCAGCACCAGCCAGACCAGCCAGCCAGCCGCACCCGCCCCGCCCGCACCGCAGCCAATCCCGCCCGCTCCGCCGTCCCATCCAGCAGCAGCCCACACAGCCAGCCACATCCAAACCACCCACCAGGCCCAGCCATCCCAGCCAGCAGCCCCCCAGCCAGCCAGCCATCCAGCCCATCCAGCCTCCGCCCAGCCAGCCAGCAGCCAGCCAGCCCCTCCAGCCAGCCGAGCCGCCGCCCGCCACCATGCCCGCCAGCAGCCCTCCCCCTATCCATCCCGACGCTCAGCCATCCCGCCAGCCATCCGCCAGCCATCCAATCGCCAGCCAGCCAGCCAGCTCACCCCGCCAATCCCAGACCAGCCGCCACCAAGCCCGTGCCAGCCAGCCAGCCGGCCAGCCGGCCAGCCAGCTCCGATCCTCCAGCCAGCCAACCATCAGCCAGGCCAGCCTTCCACCAGCCACCATCCCAACCAGCCAGCCATCCAGCCATCCATCCGCCACCAGCCAGCCAGCCAGCCAGCCACCACCCATCCTCCAGCCAGCCACGATCCAGACACGACACGGTCGACCACACAGGACCAGACCAGACAGACAGACAGACATACAGACAGACAGACAGTACACATCCAGTACAGACAGAATCCGCACGACAGACAGACAGACATACAGACATACAGACCGACAGACAGACAGACAGCCATCCACAGAGACAGACATACAGATGACGACAGACAGCATACAGACAGACATACGTACCAGACGACAGCAGACATACTACAGACAGACAGAACAGACAGACATAATCGCATACAGACAGACAGACATACAACAGACAGACATACGACAGACAGAGACAGACAGACAGAGGACAGAGGTAGACAGAGGGGATGGAAGATGAAGAGGGAGAGGTATAATTGAGATTTAGATGGAGGGAGACGAGGGAGAGGGAGAGGGAGAGGGAGAGGGAGAGGGAGAGGGAGAGGGAGAGAGAGAGAGAGGGAGAGAGCGAGTGACTCTGTTTTGCTCACTTCCTTGCACACGGATGTCTTGTCATGTGTCTTGCGCGCTTCCTTTGTTCGGGGATGTGAGGTGCATATGCGATTCCACAATGTGCAAAGGAGGCTTGCCCAGAATACCAAAAATTTCCACCCGAACTCCGCCTTTCGATAGTTACTGCGTTCTTCGAGCTTTTCCTGACTCGACCCTCTTTAACCTGAACAGGTTCTGATCAAGATTACCTGACATCCGCGCTTGACGCGAATCGAGAATCTGTCAAAGTGCCACAAAAGCAAAAACATAATGGGTAATGAGCCCATGCTTATCACGCACCCAATTCCTCTAAGCCAGGTCCACCCCAGAATGTTACTGCATGGCTGATCCTCGAATTGCAGTTGCGGTCCGGGTTATGTAGGGAGGATATCAGATTTTGAATTTAACTCCTGCCGGCAGGGTCCACCCCGGGCACCCCTACAGTCCTACAAGATCCTTGCTGGGTAGTGGGTCTGGCTATAGGATGTGCCCACAACGGTCAAGAGTTGTCAGCGTTGATCGCGCCTTGTCCTGTCGGGGGTTTAGGTTTGGAAAAGGCTTGCGTCTATCTATCAGGCTGCAGGGCAGATTTTGACTGAAACCGGCTTGAACTCTGCATGGAGGGGCGCCTGAAGAAATGGAGACTGGAGTAGTAGGGTTGTTCTTGGTGATGTGTGGGTCTTTCCTACCTTTGTTCTGCGATATTTTCTATACTGTGTTGCGTTCTCGTTGGCTTCGGCTTTCCAGGTTTGCCCCAGGTCGGGGAGTTGACAAGCAGACGCCTGCGCACGAATGGTATATCAGTTATGTAAGTGGTTGACTCTTGCCGGTGCATTCTTCGCATTTAAGGCGGCTCTCTATTCTGAAACATATGGTTCAAGGCACAAACCTACGTGTGGCGTGTAGCGGTCACCATACTACTAGTATGCGCATGCATATCTAAATTTGTCGCTCTGTCAAAAACGAGTACATGAAGCCAGATCATACAAACACATGCAGACCCACACGCGCATGTAAGCGCAATTGCACACACAAGATCACACAAGCATGTTCACAGGTAGTCTTAGTCTTCACATGTCAGGTCCTGTCAGGTCACGCCATCGCATATCTTCATGTGAACATGCAGACGTGCTGACATGCACCGTGTGTTGCAAAAAGTGCGTGCATGGACAGAACGATCGGCTTCTTGCACATGCTGCTTCCGGGCGTGTAAATAAGTTGGATGCCGCACCGAAGGCTTTGGTGCGCGCAGTTTACTGCCGCCATTTTTCTACGGAAGAGCCCAGCAAGCAGTCTATGCGAGAAAAACTTGGGCAAAGAAAGGAACTTTGAGATTCGAGCTTACATGTGCATACTTCATCAAACGGGTGCTAATCAAAAGTCGTGTTTGTGCAGCCAGGCAACATGACCTTCTGGCAATCTTCGTTGTTCAAAGCAATTGGAAGTTGCTCCTCAATCTTATGCCTCGGGCGTCTGTCTCCAAGGTGCCAATGCACGACCAAAATGGGACAATACAACCCCCTTGCACAACAGTCTATCGGAGTCTACCGGCAACGGCTCCCACACAGCGTCGATCAGGTGTTCCGAGCCACTGGTTTGCAGCGACATTTGCCATAAACTCCCGCCGGGTCGAGCGAAAAAGTTCCTGTGTGGGAGTGCATGCAGGCTGCTGATGGATACTGCCATGAGGCGAAACAGATGCGGCAAAGAGTGGGCAACAGGGAACGAAGTCCTCTTCACTTCGCTCCATCTCCTCCAACTTCCCCTGCCTGGCACTGCCACGTTGGCATGGGCGTTCTCTCGCGGAGACCAAGTGCAGGGAAGGCACAGCAAAATAAGATGCTGCTCCACCTCTGTCGCTGATTTACTTTGGAGATGCACGGTGAGATGCTCCTGTTTGCACCACGTGTGTTGTCCAACATCTTCAGTTCACGGGGCTGTGTCGAAATGCTCAAGGCTCTCAGCATTTCTTCGGCTTCCTCCACCAACCGCTCGTGCTGCATCTGCTGCGTCTCATCGGCATCTTCCAGCTGCCCCAGTTCTGTGTCCTGTGTGCGGAGACAAGCAATTGGGACCGGGAGCCCAGCATACGCCGCTGGCAAGTCAAGAGTCGCGAGCTCAACAACTGGGTTTGCTGGGACTTCTGCAGGCTCTGCGATCTGTCCCGCACAACTCTGCTGATCGGCCTGGGAGAGTTGCAAAGCGCTGGAACTGGAGCCATTCCCATTCTGTGGAAAGTAGCCTCCAGCTCAAGAACTGCGTCGATCCTGTGCAGAAGTGAGGCCGAGTAGCCGTCAATGCGCTCCTTCATCTTCAACCGCACAGATTCAGATGCGTAGGCGTATCCTCCAGCGCGATAGATTGCTGCACGGCCAGGGCTTGTGCCGTTTGTACCAGGGCAAATTATCCGAGTGGCCGAAAAGCTTTCGCTTGATAGAGCGAAGTTTGCTTGCCACCTTCTTCATGGCAGACTTCAGCTGCTGCCACAGCTTCTGCACCTCACGTCGCACTGAACCGCTGACAAAACCACGGTGATCACGCGGAGCCTTCGCGAATGCATTGCACACGGCACAGCGGCCACAAACCGCCATCCTCGGATCGAACCAGGCAAGCATTGCTGATCATTGCTGAAGGTTCTCTGGGCTCGCGGAAGGGCAAGGCTCCGGTGCATTCAAGGCCGTTTGCCAGTGGAAAAAACTGCGTGTTGCACATGTTCCTGCTATGGGATTGGATGAACATTCCGACGGACGCCTTCGAGTCTTTTGGAAGGACAACCAAGCTGAGCTCCAAGCCTGTGTACTTCCTCCACATCCCTACTCAGTCGGCGGATTGCCCACTGGGCATGGGATGTTGCAGGGCAGCTTTACCTAAGGCCCAGGACTTAGGTTGTTCCCCACATCGTGGGATGCTTCCGAGCTTCTGCTGAAGGAAGGCGACTGGAAGACCAAGCCAGCTCGCTCTCTGGGACTGCTCCTTGTACTGCCTCGGTGATGCGGAAAATTGAACCGCTGACGTGCGATAACGACACACGCTCGCAGCACGAACAAAAAGCGAGAGCGACAGCTGCGACGGAAATCGCTGAAGGTCACACCAAGCCGAGCCACTCCTGACAGTTCTGTCGGTCCTGAGAGCTGAGGCCGTCCGGGGCCTCTACACCGCAGTCCTGGAGAGCGCTTGGTCTCTTCAGTGAGGCTACGACTACGCCACCACAGCGACAGTGGCGGGACTCCTCGTCAGCAAGGGCCGCATCCACCTGGCATGAGAAGAATCGGTAGACCCACTGCTGAAATTGGCCCTGCCGTGCCTGTTTGGATGCGTCAGGGCCCCATTCGATCTCGGGGTTGGGGTGGCAAACCTCAGGAGATAGCCGCTGCACCCTATCCCCCCTTTCTTCAGTCTTACGAGATTTGCCGAGATTCCATGGCAACCTCAACCGCTGGCATTGGATGCGGTGGAAAGATCTCCCATTCCATTCCCACCTGGCGCCAGCCACTGGCACAGAGCTACCTCTCTCCATGGCCAAATCTGGGGCGATGCTGAGAAAACCACATGCTTCTCCATAGAAACCATCTCCGGACAGCTCTGGCAAGATCCTGGATCGTCCACGAAGCATGACATCTGTTTCACAGGGTTGGTGACCGCCGCAGGGATCCTAAAAAATTCCCATCGCGTCAAGAATTAGTTATCTGGTCCCTGGGTCGGGCTGATTCTTCAAAAATGCTCTCCCCTTTCCTTGTAGCCTTCGCAAGCGACGACAACGGAAGACTAGGTTGCAAAACGCCAGGATACAAGTCCAGGCACGACTCTTCGTTACTTCGGATATGCGGCGCTTGGCTGCCACTCCTCCATGAGGCGCTCGCAAGGTCCCAATTATGGGCAAGCAACCAACATTTCAGAATCAAATTGCTTGCGCGAGGCCTGCGAGGACATCCGCGATTAAGACGAGGAGGAGGGCATGCATTGCGGCAAGGCTGAAAGTGCATTTCACAGAATCAATGAAGGCTAGCAGAGATGCTGCAGGGCAAATCCTTGCATCGAAAGGAAGAGACTTGCCATCACATGGCATTGCTCGCCCAGCTACAGCTCAAGATACTCAGTCCTAGGCAACCCCTGCGGCCATTTTCCGCATTTTGCGGTTTAGCAGCTTAGCAGCTAGATCACTGAAGGGTGCCGCCCTTTGTTGGCACCGCCGTGCAATCTTGTGTTGCGGACAAGACATCTACAGTGGTGATGGCGAGGAGGGTGAAGTGGCCGGCACATGATCAACAAGCTGCTGTGCGTGGCATTGGCATCTAAAGGCTATGAACACGGTCATGAGGGTTGAGACCGTTTGCGAGCTTTTGCTTCAATTTAGCTTGTGCGATCTTCAGAAACCTGGACCAGCATCTTCACGTCCAGACTGAGTTTCCTGGTGCCAACGACGATGCGCCACAACAGCTAGACCATGCTCTCACACATCTGTGGTGACAAGAACCGTGGACTGCCTAGCCTGCAAACACTCCAGTCGTGCGAAGAGTTGCTCTGTCGATATAAAATCTGGAAGTGCATCTGTTTGCACATGCTTGTTGTTGTTGTTGCTCCTGGTGGTGGTGGTGGTGGTGGTGGTGGTGGTGGTGGTGGTGGTGGTGGTGGTGGTGGTGGTGGTGGTGGTGGTGGTGGTGGTGGTGGTGGTGGTGGTGGTGGTGGTGGTGGTGGCGGCAGTGGCGGTGGTGGTGTCTACACTACTTTCCGTTCAGACACATCATCGCACATGTGGAAGCTACACTCCCGTGTGTGGGTCGACTCCTGCGGAGCTCTGCACGGAGCCAGTGCCAGACTTTGGCGAAAGGCCCTCCTGGGAGCAAGAAGTGCCCTCTTGTCTAACGTTGAGGTCTACATGGTCGGGCCCCGAACATGGAAAAGTGACAGGGCCTAAGAACAACCGGACTGAAATGGCGTTGGCAATAGTAAAGACCGGAGCAGATTTATAAAGGGGCGCGCAGGCAAATGCACCTGCTGGTAAATTCACGCAGGAACAGGCTCGAGTGGGACGCAGTGACGAAGTCTAGGTTATTTCACGTTAGAGCCGGCTGCGAGCAGTAGCATGACCCTTATCGCATACCTGCAGTTCCGCAGGATCGGCTTGTAGACGGATTTGTCCGACAAGCTATCGCTGTTGGGTTCAACATGACGCCGGCTCGCCCGGTGGACACTGTGAGATAGAATGTGAAGGAATTGTCGCCGACGTCGGTTAGCAATGGAATCTACCCAGGCAGCACTCTGCAGTCGAAAGGCGTAAAATATGCATGTCATTTACGGCATAAATCAATGAGGAAGATGTCAGAACGCTGATGAGACAATCACTCGGAAGCAGTCGAAGCTGTGAAGACGTCGATCTTCCACGAAAGCGGGAGCAGATCACTAGGGACTGGCATCGGCCGCCCCAATGCGCCGACCCGGCTCATGCCCGGCAAAGCATCATGGCTAAGAACAGTATCTGACAAAGGTTGGCTGCATGATCCAATGCTACGAAATATCATAACTTAGCACCAGGATGCACCGAAAAGAAGTATACAGAGCGACAATTGATAAGCCCTCTGGAAAAGCGGTAAGGTTAGTAAGATTACCCAGCCCTGGAACACCGGTGTAAAACTAGCTAGCCCCAAACACTATGCCTGGGAAGGAAGCAGAAGATGCTGCGGGGAGAGGAGGTCGCTGCCATCCGAGTCTTCCAGCCTGACCGGATGCGTTTTCCCGGGTCTTCTGATAACAAAACCAAGTTTATGGACTGCACAACCTGGGAGAACAGCAGGAAAAAAGCGCTGCTACATCGCAGCAATTGCTGAACTCCATTGTCAAGCTGAGGAGCAAAGCCCGCAGTCTGCGGATTTCGGCTTCTGACTCCGCCTTCCTCAGGAGTCTTCACTTTCTAGGCTTATTAGGCCGCCCATGCCACCACCCACCAAGACCGCTACCGTACCACTGCTGCCACCGCAGCATGATGTCTATTGGTGGCCCTCCACGCAGCTTGCACCACACCTACCTAAGTACCGACCTAGACATGCATGCCTGCCTACCTACCTACCTATCGCTGATGGACGAGTTCCTGCATCGCTTTTCCCAGCTGGGGAGCTAACCAGTGGAAAAATATCATGTTCTTCTTGCTGCGGCTAATGAACGATTTTTTTGTCCACATACCTGCATTTAAATACATACATACATAGCTTACTTACATACATACTTACCTACAACCATGATATGCTGTCTTTGGCTACCTTGCTGTGAAATGATGCGGTGCTTTCCCATTCCTCTTCCAAACTCTCCTGTGCACTCGGGCTGACACAGTAGCGCCAAGTCGTCGCTCGCGGCAGTCAGAGCTTGTGCGGTGTCGATCTGGCACCTGGGTATGGGACTTGCATTAAATGCACTTCGACGCTTGAGCGCTCTCCTCGCAGCATCCAGCATTGATAGCAGCAAAATAATATTAACGAGGTTGCAGGCAGAAGCATGGACCAATTAACAGTTTTCGCGATGTCTTCTACAAAAAGCGATCTCAGGCCGACAGGTGAAAACAGCAGGTCGAAGTTATGGTAAATTTAGGTTGGTTCAGTTCTGCTCAGACCATGTGGTGTATGGGAATGAATC